CCTCTTCCCCCTCCTCCCGAGCGGCCGAGCCGCAGCCGCCCTGCCCGCGATGGCCCCCTCGCGCGCGGCGGCGGGGGCGCTGCTGCTGCTGGACGCCGCGCAGCACGCGACGGCCGCTGCACGGGGGGTGATACTGACCGCGGGGTCCTTGGCAAGTCCGCTTCTTCGCCCAGGCGTCGCAAGATGCGAGAGAGAACTGTGCGCTCTGAGTCCCATAATCGCCCAATCGCCTGCTGCTCTCGGGAGCGGCCAGGAGGGGGGTGATGACCATGATGGGGGAAGAGCATGGCGGGGGGCATGCTATCTCCCTAGATGTCATGGTGCCTCTTCTTATTTCAACACGCCCCCCCCCCCCTTCCATGGGCCGCGCACGTGCCGCTGGCCATGATTCCCCCCGTGGACGCTCTCCTCTTGGACGCACCCGAACAGTAACCACATAGTAGTAAAATCAATAACAAGATTTCGAAGCAGACTCATAAACATAACCATGCTGACAATCAACATCACAGCATTATCACATAATCGCAACAGTAATACGGATAACATAGTGTTATTGATGGTGATCGTGATAGCAGTATTATTGAGAATTAACACGATAACAAATAATACAATTGATCATGACAACTCTCAGACCAATAGCAACATTGTAGGACAACAAGAATTGCTTGTTTTTTTGTTTGGGAAGGCACCATGATAATCAAAGGAAGAAGCATGCGAATAACAAAAATAGCCATAAAACGGCGAAGAAGAAGGATAGTAATGACAATAAGGAGCCGTGTGCACGCACATACGCAAGTATGGGCTGCTACTGCGAGCGGCTGTACTCTCGAGCAGCACCCGTCCAAAGTTCAGGTTGGACCTCTAGTGTGTCAGTCCACTGCAACTCGCTCTGATCACAAGCGGCTGAAGCGTGCTGGACAACCTCTCTGGTCCGTGCACCACTCGGTCTGCCTCTCTCCCGCTTCTGGGGGAGCCAAGTTGTGGAGCCAGCTGGGGGCCCGAGGTGGCCCAGCACCGGTTCCGGCCAGCAGGGCGGGCGGGCAGGCTCGAGGGCTCGGGCAGGTGTGATGGCCTTTGTCGGCCTCGGGGGGCCGCCTGCGCGCCCCGGGACTGACAGAAGCGGATCCGGGGCGACAACTTGCACCAGATGGACCCCGGAAGGGGTCTGGGGGCCGATTTCGAGTGGATTTAATTCCATCCCCCCTCCACGACCGATCTTCTAGGGTCCCAAGCAGGACCCCCCCAGACGCCTCCAAGACCATTCGCGTCGTGCAAAGTCGCGGCAGGAGGTTCCAGGCCTCCCAGATGGGGTCCGAGCAGATGGGGTCGGTGGATCGCTGTGCGTCGCCGATGCATCGGCGATGCAGCGCGATCCTCCGATCCCATCTGCTTGGACCCCATCGAGGAGACCTCTAGAAGTTCTTGCTCATTTTGGGCCCCTGGGGGCCCTCGCTGGGCCCCATGGCCGTCAAAACCCTGCCCCGGATAAAAGTCAGTCCCACGGGAGTGTGTCAAGATCTTTCGGGGCCCACTTTGTGAAACAATCAGGACGTCTGGGGTCTGGGGATAGAGGGGGTAATGTTGATAAGACCGCGAATTGTGTACCACCATTCCTTCCTTCCCCCCCATGTAGTTTTCCCTCTCTCTCTCTCTCTCTCTCTCTGTTTTTCCCTCCCCCTCTCGTTCTCTCCAATTGTCTCTCTCTCTCTTTATCTATATGTCTCTCGCTTGCGGAATTTATCCTTCTATATATAGTATCTTTCAAAATGCATATGCATAGCCACGTATGTTTCTATCTCTTCCTCTCTCTCTCTCTCTCTCCCTTTCTATCTCTTTCATTATTTATATCTCTCTCCCTCTGTCTGTCTCTCTTTTTCTCATTATCTTGGTCCTGTTCGAGGGTTTCTGTGGATGCTTTATACACAAGGAGGGGCGGCTAGGAGGGAGGGAAGAAGGGGGAGGGCGACGTCGAGGGAGGAGGTCGGCGACCCAGAGAGGGCACGAGGAAGAGGCGAGAGAGGAACGAGGAGAGATGGATGGGGAGGAGGCGCCAAGGAAGGGGGGGGGAGGATGATGGGGGAGGGTGGCGAAGAGGAGGAGGAGGAGGAGGACCAGTGCAAGCCCAAGACGCATCAACGATGTTGCATTAAATCCTCCCTCCAAGTGGCCTCTTCTGAAGTCCCTACAAGAATTCATTATCATGTGGAGGAGCTCCTCGTTGAAAGACATTGGAACCCTCAATCCGGCCAAAACAGAATTCGTGTGGCTTCGACCCCACGAATCAAGGTTACCAGTGCGTCCTGACAATCCTAAGCCGTGCCAGAACACAGTTCCTGGAACTTCCACCCTACGACTCCTCGAAGCTGCTGCAAACCCTTTTAACGACGAATGTGCGCGGCGCGGAAGCGAGAGCCACAGCTTGAAACGGATACCACTCTCAATCCTTGACGTTGCTGCAAGCTTTCCAGACGAATGCGCACGGCGCTAATGCGAGAGCTGCACGTTGAATCCTTCAAAACTGCTACGGACGTCAGGCCTTCGGATCAAAACTGTAGCGAGGAGGTCTCCGGCGAAACGCCCGGCCTGGCCTGCCGACACGTCTGGGGCGGGGAAGGGCGACAGGGAGGAGTTCTTTACAAGGCAGAAGGATGGAGGGGGAGAGGAAGGAGGAGGAGGAGGAAGAGGAGGGGGAGGGGGAGGGGGAGAGGAGAGTAGTGAAGCAGGGGGAGGAGGAGGAGGAGGAGGAGGACGACGACGACGACGTCGAAGGCGTCGTGTTGAAGGCGATTGGGTGTTTATGTAGGCTCTCGTTGCCAAGGCTGGCCGCATTTCCAAAAAACTTGCCGGGCTGGCCTCCAGGAGGTGTCTGATGGAGGTCCAGAGGCGGGTCCCAGTCCCTTGCCCTGGTGACCCGGAACGAGGAGAGGAGGGAGGAGAAGGTTGAGGAGGAGGCAGCAAGAACGAGGAGGACGAAGAATAGGATATTGCGGAGGGGGAGGAGAAGCAGCAGAAGCAGCAGGAGAAAGAGCACGTAGGATCAGGATGACGATGAAGAGGTGGAGAGGGAAAATGTTCGTCGGAGTGCTGTTGACTGAGGAAGTGCGGAGGGGGGATGGGAAGGAGGGGAGGGAGGATGTTGCGGCAGAGGAGGAGGAGGAAGAGGAGGGATGATAAGTAGCCAAAGGAAGAGGAGGAGGAGGAAGTGCGGAGGGGGGATGGGGAGGAGGCCGAGGCAGGGGATGAGAAGAGCCGCGTCCCAACACGGCCAGAATGATCAGGACCCTCATATCGAAGACAAAACGTGTTCCAAGACAAGATAGAGTCAAGGCGCTGTACAACATGAGTTTGAAGCACACGGCGACCGCAAGCTTGCGATAGCGGAGCGTAGGCCCAGAGACCCAGACGCCCCGCGCCCGCCACCGCAGGGGCCGCGCCGATGGTGGCAGGAGGCCATCCCGTGGGGTTCGGCCTGCCAGCCGCAATGCCACTCGAACGTGTGCAACGTAACTGAAGGCGCCGTTCCAGAGAAGCCTCGCCATACGGCCGCACGGGCCACAGAGAAGCTCTATAAGGACCACCCGTTCAATCTTCCCCCATCACATGGTTGTACAAATTAGACCGGCCAAAACCCATGGGCAAGTGCAAAAGGCTTGCACGATGAAGACGAATCAACTAATGCCATTGCACGCAGAGTCCCCCACTACCGGGAGCAGTCGAATTCAAGGATCGTCTTGTCCCCCACCAGCCGCTGTTAAGTGACGCGAGACGACGAGTTTAGAAGAATACAAGGAGGAGCCAACTCTTCGGCGGCCACCAGCCCTGCCTCAGGCAAGAAGAACTGCATGGCCAAGCTCCCACCTCGGTGAGACATTTCCATAGAACTGAAAGTTATGGGGGTTTGGTCGAAGCAAGGGTGAGCTAAGCATAAGCCTCCTGCACAACTTGAGGCGCCCCTCTCGTCACCGTAAGAGGTTTGCCGTGACAACGGGCATGAGACGAGGTCGGAGAGGTACTCTTTGCGCAGCCGGTATACAGGGGGAGCAGCAGTACGAGGATGAAGACGAGCAGGAGGAGTAGGAGTAGGCAGGCGCAGGGGGGGCGAATGGGAAGGGGGAAGAGGGGGAAGGAGCGAGATGGAGAGCCATGGAGGACGGGAAAGGAGCCCACCCGGGCCGTCGTCCAGCGGCGCAGGCCACCACGGAGTTCGATTGCGACTTCGCGGCGACGACGAAGTGGGAGGCGGTCTGGACGGAGGCCGAGAAGATGTGGTGCCCCGTATCGTTTAATCGATCCCCAACCCCATCCCCATCCCTTTCGAGACCCCCACCGAATGACCACCCCAGTTGGGGATACACCCCTCGAAACACGAAGGGAACGACCTATATCCCCATCTAAGGGGGTAAATCGGCCAGTGGGGCCCAGGCCACGCCGCTGGGGATGGGGATCGGTTGAACGATACTCAGGTGCTGCGAGAACTTGGGCAAGGGCCTAAAGGGCTGCGAGGCCTGAGAGGGGAGGGCCCGAAAGGCAGTGGGTGCGTGTGTACACATACGTAGCACCCCCCGCGGTTACAGATATAAGAGTGATCGGGGCGGCGGGGTCGTCGGCAGTCCTGCGAGGTTCTGAAGAAGCCCGCCGCAGGCGCTGACTTTTTCACACATTGCACAACGAGCCCGCCGCACGCGCCGAATTTTTCTTCAGTAATTCGGGTGGGTCGCGGACGAGGACGACAACAACAATCAGATGTTGAAGACTATTCGTTTTCATCTACTCGCGTGCTGCTTAACATGTATATCCTGAACCCTCGATGCCCGCCCGCATTCGTACCCCCCTTGGGGGTATATCTTCTTTACCTGCCACGTGTAGTTGGCGCAGCCCCTAAACAGGGAAAGAGACGGAGAAGGGAAGGGAAGGGACAAAAGGGAGGGGAAGGATGGATGGAGCACGAGAGAAAATTGCAGGAGGGGACTTGGGAGCAGGAGCACAAGCGGCAGAACCAGACGGGCGGATCGGGCGGGCGGATCCAGACGACGAGGTCTAGCGGGCGGGTCGCTGAATCACTAATCCTGAGTGATCGCGGGGAAGTTTCTAGCGATAGCGCCATTCCCAAGTAAGTCGTGAGGACGTCCAGAGCGAGAGCGTGATTATTGAGTGTGGAAGGCGCGGCGTTTCAATCAATTCCCAGTCTTTGAAATGCGAGAACGCAATCCCTGGATAAGTTGCAAGGAAGTCCCGCGCGAGAGCGCAACCTCGGATTAATCGGGACACTGGTTCGTGACACTTCTGTGTTGTAGACCTGCTCCTGGGAAAGATCTGAAACTCTCGTGTGCAGCCAGGACGTCGGGACAGCCCACGCCCGGGGACTCTGCCGCAGTGTGGAGCCCACGGAGGGCAAGTTCGCGGTGCCGTCGCACCCTGCTTCCGCCCCTGCCCACAGTCAAGGGAGGAAAAAACACCCGAACCCGACAATTGGCGTTTACCAAACGACCCTGGGCGTTTACTAAACAGCCCTACCCTGTTTGATTCCTTCTTTGGGTGCGTTTGCTAAACGGCCTCGCGTGTCGGGGTGGTTACTATCGGGGTGAATTTTCTGCCATCTACACACGACGTGCAGGGCAAGCGACGTGTCTGTTGTCATGTTCTGTGGCGCCCCACAGCCTTGGCTTACCAGGCTGCGCGGCGACGCGGCGCCCGTGCCTCATCTCGACCCCGGCACCAGGGGGGGAGGCGGGCAGAGCCCCAACCGCCGAGGGGGACGACCATCGCAGTGGAGCCTCCTCCTCCTCCTCCCCCTCCTCCTCCTCCTCCTCCTCCTCCTCCTCTTCCTCCTCCTCATTCCCCTCCCTCTCCTTCTCCCCCTCCCTCTCCTCCTCCCCCTCCCTCTCCGCTTCCCCCTCCTCCTCCCCCTCTCCTCCTCCTCCCCCTCCTCCTCCTCCTCCTCCTCTCCTCCTCCTCCTCCTCCTCCTCCTCCCTCCTCTCCCCTCCTCCTGCTCCTCCTCCTCCCGTTCCTCCTCCTCCTCCTCCTCCTCCTCCTCCTCTTCCTCCTCCTCCTCCTCCTCCTCCTCTTCCTCCTCCTCCGCGCGGATCAGCGACGGTTCCAGAATCGGCGCGCCCCAGCGCCATGTTTCAGCCTTGTTGGCCTCTAATGTTTCGGGGGCTGCCTTCCCCGATCCGCGGCTCTGGCACCCACCCGCGAGGTCCGCGGATTCCAGTTCGATTCCCTTTGCTGCCGTGTTCGGTCTCTTCGGCTCTGGACGAGCTTGCTCGATGGCCCGTGGAGCTCCTCGAGGGGGGCCGTGCCAGACCTGCGCGGCCATCTGCAATAGCCCCTGGCTCGAGCTCATCCCGCCATGCAGACAAGCGGTGCGCGTTGGCGCGTGCCCGACTGAGCGCGAGGTTTGCCGCGGGCGCTCAACAGCGGGGAATCTGCATCGGGCGAGGCCGCGACTTACTGCCGCGGGCGCGGCAGCGCCTCCCGGGGGACAAAACCCCACCCCCCAAAAAAAGCATCGAGCGGGGGACCGCGCTTCCGTGGGTAGCTTCCCAGAGGCCACCGTCGAGAGTCACGAGCGGCGAACGTATCCACACCCACATCCACGGGTCGCGATCCCGAGAACGGCACGTTCTGCGCGGGGCATCCGCAAGACAAACGCTCCGCATCCACGGGGTCGCGGCCCAAGAGCCCGTCCTGCGAGGCCGTGGATGAGGATGTATTTGTGCCTGCCGCCCACGAGAGGGTTGCGAGCTTGACGTGAGCGATGAGGACCGCTGGGCGACCGCAGTGAAGCGCTTCACGGGCTGCGTCCGCCAGAGGGCGGTCGAGTGGTTCCGCGCTGGTCTGGGTGCACAGCATGGGGCCGATGCATTCCGAACAGATAAGCCACGACAGGCTCTCCAGGAGCCTCCGGCATCCGATTGTGGCGGCCGTTCCGTTTCTCTTCTTGGTCGCCCCTTTTGATCTCCATCCTCCACACTCCTCTACACTGCCTGGGCAGGGGGGTGCGGGGACGAGGAAGGAGACACGCTCTCTCCCATGGGTTCGGTGCTCCTCCTCACCGACGAGGAGGAAGAGGAGGAAGAAGAAGAGGACGAGGTCGAAATGGTGTTCGAACAGGAACGGGACGAAGAGAAGGAGGCAGAGGAGAAGGAGGCGGAGGGGCAGGAGTAAGGAGTAGGACGGGCAGATCAGAAAGGAGACAAAAAGGTTTGCGGTGGCAGCTGTTTACAATGATGTTGATGATGGCGGCCTCGCATGTACTGAGTGGTAATTATTACTCGAGGGTTCCGCTTCACGCGTGCACTTCGCTACTGCATTGTTACGGGTGTTTTCTATGTTGCCCCCAGCATATTGTCCGTAGTTATTCAGTTTGTCTGTTGGCTACTACGTTCCGCTATGATACGCGTCATACTAGAGGGGCTCATCGCGCCCGCCGGTTAGCTTGGCAATTTGCAACTTGTAAGATCATGAGGCTGCGAGCGGCCTCATGGGATCGCTGCCTGGCCGATGATAAAAGGAGAAGCGGGAGGAGGAGTTTGCAAGACACAACGTTGCGAGTGCGAAGGAGCCCTGTAGACAAACATCTACCCGACGATCGCTACACATCGCCACCCCGTCCCTGCACAGCAGGCGCGCGGCCCTGCGCAACGATGCGCGCCCCGTTCGGGGCCAATGGGTGGCCAAGAGCGGACAGCGGCACGAAACGTCCCACCACGTCCAGCTGCCTCACGCGCCCTCTCTCGAGTGCGCAGGCGCGCGTGTCTTGTGGCAGCGCTCTCGGCCTCGGCTCCTCTCAGACGGCCGGCGGTTTCCCCAGTGATTCCCCCTCGCCTCTGGGTAGCATCCGTCTTCGGCTCCTCCGTGTCTGATCGCACACTACACGACGGGGCCAGTTTGGAGATCACGGTCCGCTAGGATACCCCAGCCAGCGGATGGAAAAGAACTCAGCGCAGTGGGAAGGGATGGGTAGGAGGCAGAGGATATCAGAACTGGTGCGAGCGCGCCTAGATTTTTGTTTTCTGCGTCCTACACTGACTCCTCGTGCGAATCCCCATCCTTCGTTTTCCCCGTCTTTGTTCTTGCCCGCCCCCACAGCGACCGAGCGATGAGGGAGAGAGCAAGGGAGCGGCCAGGTGAAGCAGGAGTCCTTCGACTGCGACGCAGGCCTGCCCAAGTGGAAGACGGGCTGGTCGGAGGAGAAGAAGGTCCCGCTCCGTATCCCCAGCTTCTCCCACTTCGTCGTACATTTGCCACCACCGAGCCTCCACAGTCCAATATGGATCCAGATCCTGGTGACTGTCAGCAAGGCGAGGCGGCTGTGTCCACCAAGGGATTGGCCCAAAAAGGGCTTGCAGGTACTCGGCGGCATCCCATGGGAAGCACCTCATGCTCCAGTTTGTTCTCGGTCCACGGTTGTGCCTCTCTGGGTGGTCGGGTCCAGGCATGCCTCCCGAAGAGATTCGGCAGCGCCTCGCCACCCTTGAGCCAGGAGTGCTTTCAAACATGTGCTCAAAAGGAGTGGTGCTGCAAGAACAAGAAGAAGGGTTGCGAGGATGCGCTGGGGAGAGCGCCTGGGTGTGGATCATTCCTGATAGCGAGTGAGTGCGAGTCAAGGATCGGAAGTTGGGGGGTGAGATCGCAGTGGAACGAAGACCCGCCCACCATGAAATCGGCGTCGGTGTCGTGCTCATGTCGTGACTGGCATATCGCTTTAACTGCACCCCCGTGTAGGCCTTTTCCGCTAGCGCAGACGACCCCTGCCTCGCCGCCGACGCAGAAAGTTCAAGTCGTGCGTGCGGGCGAGGTGGGGCTACACGGGCTCGCGAGAGGAAGGACCCCGCCGTCGCCAGGGCGATGCGGATGCAGTGCACCGCTCCTCCGCGCCCGGTGGGCCCGCGGTGGCCCAGGGTTGCCCCGCCGTGGTGTCGTGTGGTGTCCCGTTGGTGTAGCGTTGGTGTCCCGTCGGTGTTCCGTCGGCTGTGGGCGGGCGGTGGCGGGGGGTGTCCCGCCTGGGTATCGGTAGCGAAGCCAATACTAAGATCGATATTGAGATCGCTAGGATGGGATGGATCGTGAGATCAGATGTGAAATCGACATGGAGGTTGATTGTGACACTTGGTTGCGAGATCGATCGTGGAATCGGTAGCGAGATCGGTGGAGGAATCGATAGTGAGACCGATCGTGAGATGGAAAGCAATATCTGTAGTGAGATCTATAAGGAGATCGATAGCGCGGTCTGTAGTCAGACCGATCGAGTGTGATCGATCCTGCGAGGCCGATAGCGAGATCGATCGAGTGAGATCGAAAGCGTGGACGATAGCGACATTACATCGCAACACAACATCGTCACCACGCGTGGCTGCTAACTCGAAGGCACGCCACCAGCATCGTCATCATCACATCGATCGCATTTGCCTGCAGTTGCTTATTCCCCCCACGCCCCAACCTCCTTGTCACCCGAAGGGTGGTCGTATAGGTATGTGCGACATCCAGGGACAACAAGGAACGAAACGCCAGCGCACGCGACCAGATCAGCACGAGCTCAAATCTCCGCACGATGTGGTCGTTCGCCCATTGCGTATCGGCTTGACCAGCAGCATGTCGCGAAAATGGTGGTACTGTGACGATCTGGAGTATGGGTGCTCGTCTTTACAAGTTTCGTTCAGTGCGTGGTGGGCCAATGATTCACACATGTAGTACCACTGAATGTTGGAAACATGTGGGGTCAATCGCGCATTCAAGCATATGTCGGTAGGGGAAGGGCAGGACCCCTTCGACTGCGATGCAGGCTTGCCCAAGTGGAAGACGGGCTGGTCGGAGGAGAAGAAGGTCCCGCACTTTATCCCAAGCTTCTCCCACTTCGTCGTACATTTGCCACCACCGAGCCTCCACAGATCCAGATCTTGGTGATTGCTGGCGAGGCGGCTGTGTCCACCAAGGGATTGGCCCTAAAAGGGCTTGCAGGTACTCGGCGGCATCCCATGGGAAGCACCTCATGCTCCAGTTTGTTCTCGGTCCACGGTTGTGCCTCTCTGGGTGGTCGGGTCCAGGCACGCCTCCCGAAGAGATTCGGCAGCGCCTCGCCACCCTTGAGCCAGGAGTGTTTTCAAGCATGTGCTCAAAAGGAGTGGTGCTGCAAGAACAAGAAGAAGGGTTGCGAGGATGCGCTGGGGAGAGCGCCTGGGTGTGGATCATGTGTGGTAGCGAGCGAGTGCGAGCCAACGACATGTGCGACATCCAGGGGCAACAAGAAACGAGACGCGAGTGCATGTGACCTTGTCAGCGCATAACGGGCTCAAATTCACCCGTGGTCGTTCGCCCACGGTGTACCGAATTGACCAGCAGCATGTCGCGACATGGGTGGTACAGTGACGGTCTGGAGTGGGGGCGTTCGCCTTACTAAATGTACCTCGTGTGTGGTGGCGGGTGCAGCGCGTGGTGGGGCAATCATTCACACATGCAGTTTCAATGAGTGTCGGGAACTTGTGGGGTCAGCCGCGCATTCAAGTACGAGTCGGCAGGGGAAGGGCAGGACCCCTTCGATTGCGACGCTGGCTTGCCCAAGTGGAAGACGGGCTGGTCGGAGGAGAAGAAGGCCCCACGGTTTGCCCCCCGTTATTTCAAATCCGGTGTAAGTTGACCAGCGCCCAGCGAGTCTCTACAGACCAAAGTTGGCCAGATCTTGGTGGGAACTATTTCCGGGCTAGGCCACATGGTAATATCCACCGAGGGCGGGTCCTCCAAAAGCACTCGGATGCTGTGTGGTTGTCAGTACCATTCCCATTAGTTGACGTAACTCATCGCCAAGGTTGTTCTCGGGCCTCGGGTTGTGCATGTCAGGGTCGCCCAGTCCATGCGTGGATCCCAGATGTGTTCGCTAGAGGTTGGCCATCCGAGAGTGTGAGGAGTGAGTTGAAACATGTTCTTTAAAGGCGTGGTGCTGCGAGAACAAAGAGAAGGGCTGCGAGGCTGCACTGGGGAGCGCGCTTGTAGACTGCACCGTTGTGATAGCCAGTGGGCGTTCGGGTTTCAGGATATGTGCGGTACGCATGGGCAACGAGCGATTAGGAGCGAGAGAACAAGACAATGGCATTATGGGGCGAGCTCAAATATGCAATCGCTGCCGTCACCCGTAACCTATGTCTCAGAATGGCCAGCAGCATGTCGTTGGTATCATGGCACATAGACGAAGTGTTCAACAGTTGGCGGCGCTCTTCTTGTCAGGTTGTGCTCATGGCTGGTAACGGGTGCATAACGTGGTGGCTTAGTCACGCCCAGTCTAAGCATGATTGAGTTGCAAAGGAATGTGCAGCAATCGCAACTCAAGTGCGAGGCGATAGGGAAAGGGCAGGACCCCTTCGACTGCGACGCAGGCTTGCCTAAGTGGGAGACGGGGTGGTCGGAGGAGAAGAAGGTCCCGCTCTTTGCCGTCCGTTGTTTCCCCGCCATTGCATGTTTAGCCGTGTGTAACAATCTCCGCTCAACACAGAACGCTGCAAGAGCGAATGTTGATGCTTTCATGTGTTCATGATTACCTGGTCGTCGCTCAAAAACACTGGATGGCCCTCGTGTCCTGGAACTTGTGATTCAACTCCATGGGCGGGGGGTAGCTGTGCCCATCCCAATGTTGTGGCGTAGCGTCAGGGGGAAGCTTCGGATGGACACCCATGGTAAGGCCAGCAGTCGTACCACAATGTAGAACATGCTCGAATGCAGTACCGTGGGTTTGCAGGGGTTGGCAAACACAGCCATTTCAGGCGTCCAGTGGTCGCCCATGCGAGCAGTTGAATTATTTGAATGCGGCAACTTCTGTGGAGATGTGTTGTCGTTCCGATGTTGACCCGGGCATTTCGTAAGGAGTGGTGCTGCGAGCACGAGAAGAAAGGCTGCGAGGCTTGCTTCTGAAAGCTGCGCACGCGCGGGAAGAATACGAGATTGTCGCCTGGGGCAGTCGACGAGTGAGACGTGTGAAGATGATTTGAGGTGGAAGGTTGCATGGTAAGAGTACTGTCCCCACGGTGGGTCAGAATCAAGGGGCAGCAGGCGCATCAGTGATGAGACCGTCAGGTATTGACGTTTTACGTGCCCATCCCAGCCAGTCCAGAACCGACTGAGGTGTTGTGAAGCTTGAGCATCAGTGACATTGAGGGGTGAGGCACTAGCCGCACCGAAGTTGGGATCAGTCCAAGCAACCCCGAACAGTTGCGGGCTTGAGATGCAGCAGGCAAGTCAAATTAGAAACCGGTCTGCCAGCAGGCGCCCTGTGGAAGTTTCTTATCCCCCAATCGCCCTGGGGGGGGGCACAGAAGCCTTGGGGCGAGAAGGTTTCTGAGCCTCCTCTAGAGGCAGAGGCGGGTTCTCAGAAAGCTGGAGGGCCTCTGAGAAGCCCAGCCGCCTTTTGAGACGGCCTGCCCCCTCTCACTCCCCTCCCGGGCGCGCCGCCGATCGTGGTGCTCTTGTATCAGACATTGGCATCGCCTTCCTGGGGCTGGTCTCTTGGCCCGCCGCCGCCGCTCGTGCGAAAGGCGCGACTGGCCTCCCCTCTCCCTTGCGGCTACAGAGACGCAGGCATCTTGTTTCGGCGGCGCGCCTGGGGGGGGGGGGGGGGGGGCAGGCTTTCTCAGAAGGCGGCGGGGCTTCTCGGAAGGCCCCCCCGGCCTTCTGAGAAGCCGTGCCCGTCTTCGGAGGAGGCCCAGGGTATTCCTCAGAACATTCCGAAGACACGAGGCTTTTCGAGCCCTGTGATCGGGTTGACCCAAAAGGGTGTCCAGCGACAAGGGGGTGGTGCAATGGATCTGGTGCAATAGATTTGTGGTGTTGCAATACATTTGGGGCGTGCAGCAAATTCCCGGGCGCAAATGTATTGCCGGATGTTCGCGTGCAGTACATTACTTGCGATGCAATACAATACAATACAATCCAATACAATACAATACAATACAATTCTCCGTCGCCGTACATTTGCAAAACAATTGCCCCAAATCTATTGCGCCACCCCCTTTTCTGCTGGACCCCCTTTTGGGTCACCCAAATGAGAGCTGAGAGCAGGCCTGCCCCCTCTGCATCCCCCCTTGCACTCGCCGCACACGGTTGCTGCGCGTCCTGCTGCTGCGCGGCCTTGCAAAGCCCGCGTGGGCGCCCTGCCACTGCCAGTCGCATGGCGGCGGCCCTGATTTGTTGTTGTTCCTCGCACGGCCGCCTCGACACCGGCATCGTGCTGCTGAGCACCGCGCGCGTGTGTGTGTGTGTGTGTGCATGTGCATGTGCATGTGCATGTGCATGTGCATGTGCATGTGCATGTGCATGTGCATGTGCATGTGTATGTGCATGTGCATGTGCATGTGCATGTGCATGTGCATGTGCATGTGCATGTGCATGTGTAAGTGTGTGTGTGTGCGCATGTGTAAGTGTGTGTGTGGTTGTTTTGTGTGTGCGTGCGTGAGCGTGCGTGAGCGTGCGTGAACGTGCGTGAGCATGTTTGCGTGTGTGCGTGTGCGTGTGCGTGTGCGTGTGTGTGTGTGTGTTTGTGTGTGTGTGTGGGTGGGTGGGTGGGTGGGTGCGTGCGTGCGTGCGTGCGTGCGTGCGTGCGTGCGTGTGTGTGTTCCTCGCACGGCCGCCTCCACACCGGCATCGTGCTACTGAGCACCGCGCGCGTGCGTGCGTGCGTGCGTGCGTGCGTGCATGCGAGCGAGCGCGCGCGCGCGTGCGCGTGCGTGCGTGCGTGCGTGCGTGCGTGCATGCGCGCGCGCGCCCGCGCGTGCAAGGACCATTGTGGGCTCAAGAGGGGCACTGGTTTTCAGGCCGTCCTGCAGATCTAGGTCGGGTAGCCCATTCGCGTCCGAGGCTCGAAGCGAGCAGAAAAGCCCCCTCGTTCCTTATGCAGAGTTCCCTGTGGTAGCACGATTAGCACGACCACTGCGTGCCACATGCCCGCAAAGTCCCGCCTGCGAACAATGTCGAGAAGGCGTCCCCGCACTCTCCCGCACATGCCCGTGCGGCACCCTCTCGCACGCCCCCGCCCGCGCCGAGCACTCGCCCGCGCGAAGACTGGCACGGCTGCCCTCAACAAGACCCGCTCGGATGTCCTCGGCCTGCTCGTCGAGGAGGAGGAGGAGTAGGAAAAGGAGGAGGAGGAGGCGGAGGAAAAGGAAGAGGGAGGAGGAGGGAGGAGGAGGAGGAGGAGGAGGAGGAGGAGGAGGATGGGGAGGAGGAGGAGGAGGAGGAGGGAGGAGGAGGAAGGCGCGGGGGGGGGGCAGCAGGCGCAGCGGCCCCCCATCGCCCACTCCTCGCTGGCAGGGGCCCGAGAGCCCACGGTGAGCTCTCGGGCCACCTTCGGCGGTGAAGGGCAGCCCACCCCGTCCACGAGCAGGCGGCCTTGCTCTCGGGGGGCCCGTCGCCGACCTGGCAGCGATGCGTCGCCGACTCCAGGACGACGCCCCCCCCCCCCCCCCCCCCCCCCCCGAGCGGGTCCCCCCCCCCTCCCGTCGTGGACCGTCACCACTCTAGGGTGGCACCCGTTGCCGACCCATCGGCGACGCATCGCCGATCCCGAGTCGGCGCTCCCTCCCCCCCCCACCCCTGGGCGCCCCCCCCCTCCATATCGTTGACCCGCACTTCTGGGGGGGAGGAAGCAGGGCGGAGGCGTGCCCCGAGCATCCGTCCCGAGGACAAGTCTGGTAGGGGCGCTCGTCAAGAAGTAAATACCCAGGAGGCTTCCAGCCCTTGAGGGCTACTTGTCCAAGGTGGGCGGCGGTGATATACACATGGCCAATCCACGACTGGAGTTCCACACAGGCTTCTGGACCCTGGATTGTTTCTCCAATGTTTCCCCATCCAGGGGTGCTTTTTCCAAGGGTTCTTCGTCCAGGGGCTCCTCGTCCGGTGGTCCCTTATCCAGTAGTTCCTCATCCAGCGGTTTCTTTCCCAGCGGATCCTTTTCTGGCGGTTCCTGGTCCAGCGGCTTCGGATCCAGTTGCTCCTTTTATCCAGTGGCTCGTCATCCCATGGCTCCTTCTCCAGTGGTTCTGTAACTACCCAGTTGGTCACATTCATCCCCATGGCTCCTTGCCCAGCGACTCCTCACCCAGGGGCTCCTGCTTCATTGGCCCCCCATCGGTGACCCCGCATGCTTTTGATGAGGCGGGGCCCCCGGCAGCGCGGCGGCGCGCCCGAGAGCCCCAGCCGGCCCTTCGAGCAGCAAGATGCCCCTGCGCGGAGGCGCCGACGCCGGCGCCACCGCCGCGGGCGCCAGCACCGCCGCCGCCAGCACCAACGCCGCCGCAGGAGCGAGGGGTGGGAGCCGGAGGAGGAGGAGGAGGAGGAGGAGGAGGAAGAGGGAACGGACAAGGGAAAGGAGGGGAAGGGTTGGCACGAGCGAGAGGGAGATGGAGGAGGAGGAGGAGGAGGAGGAGGGAGGAAAAGGCTAACGAGGAAAAACAGGAAAAAGATAAACAAGAGGAGGAGGAGAGGAGGAGGAGGAGGAGGAGGAGGAGGAGAGGTAGGGGGAGCAAGATGGGGAGAGGGAGGGGGAGGGGGAGGGGGACCACCAGACTGGATGGGGGTTGGGGCGCGTTCGGCCCTCAAAGGGTTTGAGATGGAACCGCTCTCTTCCCGTCTCCCCTTCCTTCCTTGGTTCGTTTCTTCTTCTCCCCTCCTCCTCCTCCTCCTCCTCCTCCTCCTCCTCCTCCTCCTCCTCCTCCCTGCTCCTCCGCCGTATCTGCATCCGTGTCTTGTCATTGCCCTTCGTCTGAAGAGGGTCCACGTGCGTGGCATCCAGGCGAGGTGCGAACGAAAAACCATAACAAACAAAGACAACACCGCAAAACAAACACAACAAACAAGAACAAACAACAACAAAAAACAAACAACACAAGTGTTTGGCACTTGGTCAGGGCTGGGTGGTGGGGGCACACAAAGTATAGTTTGTGTTGTTTGTTGTTTTGTTGTGTTGCTTTTTCCCGTGTGTTGCTTTAGGTTGTACAATAATCGATCTTCGGTTTGTTTATTTGTTGCTTTATTTCTGTGTTTTCCCAGCCGTCTTGTGGTGTTGGGTCCGCGTTTTGAAGAGACGGTCCCCGCGTTCCTCCTCTCCTCTCCTCTCCGCCGCCTCCCCCTCCTCCCCCCATCCTCATCCTCATCCTAATCATCATCCTCATCTTCCTCCTCATCATCATCATCACTTCATCATATTATGCATCATACTTCGCCACTGCGAAAGTTCGGCCAAAATTCAACGCCTCCCGTTAGGCGACGGGGCCCCAGTACAACGTTGGCAGTGGGCCCGTTAGGCCGCGGGGCCCCAGTACAATGTTCGGTTCAAACATTTTTCGCTCCAGTCTCGGGCGGCGCCGCCCTTTCGAAATCGAGTCCGCGGGCGTCGAAATCCAGTCGAGCTCGCTTTGGGGAGGAATCCTAGGCGAAAGCCACATTTCGAAATCGAGCCCGAGGGTTTCGAAATCCAGTCGAGCTCGCTTTGGGGAGGAAGTCCTAAGCGAAAGCTGCATTTTCGAGTTTTCGGGTCAGGGCTTTTAAAGTTTTAAGTTCCAAACGGTGTGGCCATTTCGAAACGGCGGTTTCGCTTGATACTTCCTCGGAAAAAAACGATGTCGAACGATTTCGAAACTTTCGGGTTCGATTTCGAAATGGCGCTCCTGCCTAGGACTTCCGCAAAAATAGAATTCGAAACCTTTCTGCTTCGATTTCGGAATGGCGCTCCCGCACAGGACTTCTTCAAACATAGAATTCGAAACCTTTCTGCCTCGATTTCGATATGGCGCTCCCGCACAGGACGTCCTGCAAAATGAGGTTCGGCATTTGTTCCGCTCGAAATCAAAATCGCGCTCCCGCCACTGGGGTGCTAGCGTCAAGGTGATTATCGGCGCTCGGCTGCTCATAGGTTATATGGTGCTCTCAGGCTTTGGAGTGATGCTCACGGCCGTCGTGGTGTTCGTAACCGATGTGATGCTCAGGCGTTGTTTAGCTGAAAACACAAAACGGGTCAAAACTTTCGAAGCGCCGTTGTAGTCACCCATTCCGGCACACGCATCGCACGGCTCGTGGCCCCTCACCTCCCGCGCGCCTCCCCGTCCTCCCTTTGCGTCAACGCCACCCAGGACAGCGTTTCGTGGCCCCAGAGGGAGCTCCACCGAAGGCCCAAAGGGCCGAAGTTGCATGCGTCCCCGGCGCCCAATTCGGCACACCTCTCACACCACGTTTCGTTGCCCCAGAGGGAGCGCCACCTGAGGCTCAAAATGCCGAGGTTGCATGCGTCCCCGCCACCCAATTCGGCATACCCCTCAAACGCTTCGTGGCCCCAGCGGGAGCTCCACCGAATGCCCAAAAGGCCGAGGTTGCATGCGTCCCCGCCGCCCTATTCGGCACACCCCTCACACGTTTCGTGGCCCCAAAGGGAGCTTCACAGAATGCCCAACAGACAAAGGTTGCACGCGTCCACGCCACCCAATTCCGCACACCCCTCACACGTTTCGCGGCCCCAGAGGGAGCGCCACCGAAGGCCCCGAAGGCCGAGGTTGCATGCACCACCGCCACCGAATTCGGCACACCCCTCACACGTTTCGCGGCCCCAGAGGGAGCGCCACCGAAAGCCCCAAAGGCCGACGTTGCATGCGCCACCGCCACAGAATCCGGCACACCCCTCACGCGTTTCGTGGCCCCAGAGGGAGCCCCTCCGGAGGCCCAAAAAGCCGAAGGTGCATGCGTCCACGCCACGCAAGTCGGCACACCCCTCACGCGTTTCGTGGCCCCAGAGGGAGCCCCTCCGGAGGCCCAAAAAGCCGAAGTTGCATGCGTCCACGCCACCCAAGTCGGCACACCCCTCACACGTTTCGTGGCCCCAGAGGGAGCCCTTCCGGAGGCCCACAAGGCCGAGGTCGCATACGCCCCCACCGCCCAATTCGGCACACCCCTCACACGCTTCGTGGCCCCAGCGGGAGAGCAGTACCCACAATGTGGTACTCGCAGTTGCATATGGTTGAGTCCTTCGTCAGGCTAAGTTTGGTTGTTCAGCCCCTCCGCCTCCCCCCAAGGAGGGAACGACAGGATGGACGTGAACGGGAAAAAGAAAAGAAGGATGATAAGGATCAGAAGGAGGGGGGACGAAGAGAAGAAGGCTCGTCCTACGCAACAGGAGTCCTATTGTAAAGGATTTCAATAGGAATCGTCGTGCACAGGATTCCAATAGGACTTTTGCTGCGGAGGGTTTCAGTAGGACTCCTGCTGAATCCTTCTGTAGAGGCTATTAATAGGAACTTTGCTGTGGACGGGTTCAATAGGAGCCCTTTATGTCGAGGATTTCAATAGGAACCCTTCTGTCCAGGATTGCAATCGAAATCTTGATGTGAGGGTTTCAACTCCTGTGCATGATTTCAACAGTAATCCAGATGTCGGGGATTCCGATAGGAATCCTTCAGCGGAGGACTTCAATAGGAACCTTTTACGTCGGGGATTTCAGTAGGAATCCTTTTTGTGAAGGAGTCCAATAGGAATCCCTATGTAAAGGATTTCAATCGGAATCCTTGCGTAGAGGTTTCTAATAGGAACCCGTCTGTCAAGAATTTAAACAGAAATCTTGATGTGGAAGGTTTCAAGTCCTGTGGAGAATTTGAATCGAAAACCTGCTGTGGGGGATTCCAATATGAATCCTTGTGTAGGGGGTTCAATATAAATTCCTTCTGTGGATGATTTCAATAGAAAACCTGCTGTGGAGGAGTTCAATTGAATTCCTTCTGCAGAGGATTTCAATAAGAATCCATCTGTAGAGGCTATCAATAGGAATCCTGCTGTGGAGGGTTTCAGTTGAGCTCCTTCTGTAGAGGATTTCGATCGGAATTCATGTGTAGATGCTATCAATAGGAATCCTGCTGTGGAGGGGCCAACAGGAACCCTTACGTAGAGGTTTTTTGACAGGAACCCTTCAGTCGAGGATTTCAATCGAAATATTGTGTTTCCGCTTTCAAGTCCTGTCGGAGGTGAGGGGGTGAGATCGAAGTGAAACGGAGAGCCCCCCTACCAGGAGATCGGTTTCGGTGTCGTGTTCGTGCGTGCCGTGCGTGCGGGCGAGGCGAAGCTACATGGGCGGGCGAGAAATGTCCCGCCTCTGGCTGAGGCGCGGCCGGACCAAAAGTCTCCCTTCCAGCAACCGGTGCCCCGCGGTGTACCGCCGGTGTCCCGCCGGTGTCCCGTCGGTGCCCCGATGATGATGATGATGATGATGATGATGATGATGGTGATGATGACGATGTTGATGGTTAGGATGATGATGGTGATGATGCTGATGATGATGATGATGATGATAATGGCCATGATGGTGATGATGACGGTGTCCCGATGATGATGGTGATGTTGATGATGATGATGTTGCTGTTGATGATGGTGGCTTCCCGATGATGGTGACGATGATGTTGATGATCCTGATGATGTTTGATGACATGATGAAGATGATGAGGATGATGCGGATGATGGTGTCCCGATGATGATGATGATGATGATGATGATGATGAGGTTGATGATGGTGTTGTTGATGATGATGGTGTCCCGATGATGTTGCTGCTGTTGATGAAGATGACGATGATGGTGCCCCGATGATGATGATGATGTTGATGATAAGGATGATGATGAGGTGTTGATGATGATTCTGATGGTGGTGGCCCGATGATGATGATGATGATGATGATGATTCGGATGCTGATGATGATGGTGTCCCGATGATGATGATGGTGATGCGGATGAAGATGCGAATGATGGTGTCCCGATGATGATGATGGCGGTGCTGATGATGATGGTGTCCCGATGATGATGGTGATGTTGATGATGTTGTTTACGATGATGATATGATGATGGTGGTGGCCCGATGATGATGATGATGATGGTGTCCCGAGGACGTTGGTGATGTTGATGATGCGGATGATGACGATGATGGTGTCCCGGTGGCGGTGATGATGGTGATGATGATGATGTTGATCGTGGCCCGATGGTGATGATGTTGATGATGATGTCCCGGTGATGATGATGTTGATGGTGGTGGTGATGTTAACGATGACGATGGTGTGCCGATGGTGATGGTGGTGATGATGACCATGTTGATGATGATGATGATGATGAAGGTGTCCCGGCGATAACGATGTTGACGGTGTTGTTCATGAGCATGATGATGAGATGATGAGGATGGTGGTGTCCCGATGATGGTGATGATGGATGATGATGGTGGCCATGGTGGTGATGATGATGGTGTCCTGATGATGATGGTGTTGGTGCTGTTGATGTTGTTGATGATGATGACGGTTTTCCGATGATGATGATGATGTTCGTGATCCTGATGATGTTAATAATGATGAGATGATGATGGTGGTGAATATGATGATCGTGATGGTGTCCCGATGATGATGATGCTGAGCTTTGTGATGGTGCTGTTGATGATTATGATGGTGATGATGTCGGTGTCCCGATGGTGATGATGTTGATGATGATGACGATGATGGTGTCCCGATGATGATGTTGTTGATGACGATGATGATGAGGAGATGATGATGTTGACGATGGTAGCCCGATGGTGGTTGTGATCATGTTGATGCTGATGGTGGTGTCCCGATAATGATGATGATGCTGATGGTGGTGATGATGGTAACGATGACGATGGTGTCCCGATGGTGATGGTGGTGATGATGATGATGTTAATGATGGTGATGAAGGTGTCCCGATGATGATGATGATGTTGAAGATGTTGTTGGTGATGAAGATGCATGATGATGATGGTGGTATTTCGATGATGATGTTGATGATGAGGGTCTCCCGATGGTGATGATGGTGATGATGATGATGGTGATGATGATGGAGTCCCGATGATGATATTGGTGATGATGCTGATGGTGATGATGTGATGATGATGGTGGTGTCCCGGTGGTGATGATGAGGATGATGATGATGACGCTGTTGATGGCGTTGGTGACGATGATGTCGACGAGGATGATGACAGTGATTATGAGATCGATTGTGATATCGATACTGCGACTGAGTGTGAGATATCTTGTGAGATAGATCGTGGTATCGATAGCGAGGTTGATTGTAAGATCGATCGTCATATCGATTGTGAAATCGATCGAATGAGATAGATCGAGTGAAATCGATTGTGAGATCGATCGAGTGGGAACGATCGAGCGAGACCGATAGTGAGATCGATCGTAAGATCGATAGTGAGACCGATCGAGTGAGACGTTGGTTCCTCCCCCCCCGAGCTTCGTTATCACCCGAAAAGTGGTCGTACAGGTAGACGGTTTTATTCGAAATCCTGCTGTGGAGAAATTCAATAAGAACCCTCATGTAGAGGATTAGTCGTTTTCCAGTCTGGGATGTCAGAACGATTACTTCTGTGGAGGAGTACACTCGGAATCCTTCTGTAAAGGATTTTAATCGGAATCCTTGGGTAGAGGATTCCAATCGGAATCCTGCTGTGGAGGGAGGGTTTCAATCTGATTCCTTTTTGTCTAGGATTTCAATAGGAACCCTTTTGGGAATCCTGCTGTGGAGTGTTTCAAATGGAACCCTTCTGTCCAGGATTTCAATAGAAACCCTTCCCCCGAAGATTTCAATCGACATCCTGCTGCGGAGGGTTTCAACTCCGGTGGAGGATTTCAATAGAAATCCTGTTGCGGAGGATTTCAGTTAGAATCCTCCTGTGGAGGAGTTCAATAGGAATCTTTCTGTGTAGGAGTTCAATAGGAACCCTTCTGTGGATGAGTTCAACCGGAATCCTTATGCCAAGGATTTCAATAGGTACCCTTTTTGTGGAAGGATTTCAATTTGAATCCTGCTGCGGATGGTTTCAGCAAGACTTCTTCTACAAGGGATTTCCTCAGAAATCTTGATGTAGAAGCTATCAGTAGGAATACTGATGTGAAGGGTTTTGCTCGGAACCCTTCTGTAGAGGATTTTACTGGGAACCCTTCTGTCCAGGATTTCAATAGAGATCCTGCTGTGGAGGGTTCAAATTCCTGTGGGTGATTTCACTGGTATCCTGCTGCGGAGGATTACAATAGGAATCCTTTTGTGGAGGATTTTAATAGGAACCCTTCTGTCGGTGATTTTGATAGGGACCCTTCTGTCGAGGAGTTCAACAGAAATCTTGCTGTAGAGGGTTTCAACTCTTGTGGGTGATTTCAGTAGAGATCCTGATGTGGATGATTCCAATAGGAATCCTTCTGTGGAGGATTTCAAATCCCCCTGCCGGAATTTCAATAAGATTCCTTCTGTGGGAGTTCAATAGGAATCCTTCTGCAAATGATTTCAATAGGAATCCTTGCGTAGAGGATTCCAGTAGGAATCCTGCTGTGGAAGGGTTTCAGTCGGACTCTTTCTGTAGACGTTTTCAATCGGAATCCTTCTGTAGAGGCTATCAATAGGAATCCTGCTGTGGATGGTTTCAATAGGAACCCATCTGTAAAGGATTTCAATAGGAACCCCTCTGCCGAGGATTTCACTAGAAATCCTGTTGTGGATGGTTTCAGCTCATGTGGAGGAATTCAATAGAAATCCTGTTGTGGAGGATTCCAATAGGAATCCTTCTGTGGAGGAGTTCAATAAGAACCCTCCTGTGGAGGAGTTCAGTAGGAATCCATATGCACAGGATTTCAATAGGAACCCTGCTGTAAAAAAAGGTGTCAATGTGAATCCTGCTGTGGAGGGTTGTAGTCGGACCTCTCCTGTACAGAATTTCAATCGAATTCCTGATATAGAGACTTTGCGTAGGAAACCTGCGTCTGAGGGTTTCAGTCGGTCGAGGATTTCAACAAGAACCCTTCTGTCTAGGATTTCAATAGGAATCCTGTTGTGGAGGGTTTCAACCTCTGTGGAGGATTTGAGCCAAAATCCGGGTGTGGAGGATTACAATGTGAATCTTTCTGCGGAGGATTTCAACAGGAGTCTTCCTGCCAGGGGTGCCACTCGGAATCCTTACGCAGAGGATTACAATAGGAATCCTTCTGCAAAGGAGTTCAATAGGAGTCCTTATTAGGGATTCAAATCGGAATCCTGCTTTGGAGGGTTTCCATAGGACTCCTTCTGTAGAGGATTTCAATGGGGATCTTTTTGCGCAGAGGCTACCAATAGGAATCCCGCTGCGGAGAGTTTCAATAGGAACCCTTATGTAGAGGATCCCATGTTGATCTCCAGAGCGGGTCAGGAGAGGGACGAGGAGGATTTGGAGGCTCATGCATCTGGTATATGAAAAGGAAGAGGGAGGGTCGGGAGGAGGAGAAGAGGGGGAAGGGGAGGGGGGAGGGGAGGGGGAGGGGGAGTGGGAGGGGGGGAGGCGGAGGGGGAGGGGAAGGGGGAGGGGGTAGGGGTGGGGGAGGGGAGGGGGAGCGGGAGGGGGATGGGAAGGGAGGGGCAGGAGCGAGGAAGAGGAGGGGGGGGAGGTGCAGGCCGAGGCCGCGGAGCAGGAGGAGGAGGAGGAGGGTGGGAGGGGGAGGGGGAGGATGAAGATGCTTCCTCCTCCTCCTCCTCCTCCTCCTCATCATCATCATCATCGTCATCAGCATCATCATCACCATCATCAACCTCATGATCAGCATCATCAGCAGCAGCATCATCTTCACCATCATCATTCTCAGCATCCTCATCAGCATCCCCATCATCAGTATCAGCATCATCATCAACAATGCCCTCATCATCATACTCAGCATCTGCATCGTCATCTCCAGCATCATCATGATCATCTTCGTCATCATAAGCAGCATCAGCAGATCAACATAATCAGCATCACCCTCATCATCAGCAGCACCATAATCATCATTATCAGCATCATCAGCATCATTATCATCAGCAGCATCGTCGTCAGCATCACCATGTTCAGCATCATCAGCAGCAGCATCATCATCAGCATCATCACCATCATCATCAACAACAACCCATCACCATCAGGGATCCTGATCCCCCCCGATCATCAGCGGTGGCCGCCGCGGGGGAATAGTTAGTTCCCAGTACTGTTTGGGTCGCAGTCCGCCAAAGGGCCCGCGCAAGAAAATATTGTCTCATGATTTATTGGGGGTCATGAGAGACTTACCGCGGTTGAACGATGCTTGATCCCGCTCCCCACCACAGCTCCTTCCGCCGCGAGGACTCTCCCGCTTTCAACTGCACCAGCGGCAACTCGTCGAAATGGTCGGCCAACAAGAAGCTGTGGTGCTACGAGCACTGGGAGGACGCAGGGGCGCAGTGCGGGCTTGCTGCGTGCCCTCGACGTTGTCCCTAGAGAGTGGGCCAGCCTGGATTTGAGTTGTAAGGTCCCCCGCTTGCGGGATGGGGCCGTTATGTTCCTCCTCGTGCCGTTCGTCCTCCCCGTCGTCGCCGTCGTCGTACTCCTCCTCCTCCTCCTCCACCTCCTCCTCCTCCTCCTCCTCCTCCTTTTCCTCCTTCTCCTTCTCCTCATTCTCGAATCTACAGAGGCTGCTACACTTGCGACCGCGAGTTGATCCCCTCGATCTGGCCCCAGCTGGCGCTGTAGAGCGCCAGCCCTGTGCCGCAGGGCGATCTTCGGCCGAGGGAGGGGAGGAGGGGAGGGGGAGGGGGAGGAGAGTCCAGGAGGGGGGAGGGGAGGGGGAGGGGGGGGGGGAGTCCAGGAGGGGGAGGGGGGAGGGGGAGGAGCACCCAGGAGGGGGGAAAGGGGGGGGAGGAGGGGGGGAGGAGGAGCAGCAGCAGTTGGCGCACAGCCGAGGGCCACTCTGCGCGTGCCCCGCACGCGGCCCTGGACGCGCTCCTCCCGCGGCCTCTCGCGCGCTCGGCCGCGGGCCCCTCGCGGGCTCGGCTGGGACCCCCCCTGCGGCGCCGCGGCCCGCCCGGCGAGCCCGAAACAGCCGCCGCCCGGCGAGCCTGCCGAGGCCCCGCCGTGGCTCGGGGCCTCGTGGGCAGGGCCCCCGTCTGCTGCGGCGGCAACGGCGCCCCTCCCCCCTTCCTGCCGGGGGGGGCCGGACAGGCATCGGGCGGGATGCATCGACCCCCCAGGGCCCATGGATCGCCGCTGGGGGGCCCGAGGGCCCCAACCCTGCCCGGGAAGGTGCGGATGCACAGTCGGAGGCCCATCGCCAATCTATCGGCGACGTATCGCCGACTCCAGGTCGATGCATCCCTCTCTGTGCAGGTCCCCCCATGTCTATCCTTTACTCCCAGGCCTTCCTGGCAGGGGATCGCGCCGCATCGACGATGGATCTGGAGTGCAGCTCGATGCGGAGCCCAGTTTCCTCCACTCTGACGTCGCCGATGCACCAGCGAGGCGGCGCGATCCTCCGAGCCTTCTCCTACTCGGACCCCACATGGGAGGCCTCTATCTTTGGCGTTGGCTCTCCTTTTGGCTGCTGGTCGCCCCGGCTGGATCCGCTCCGAAGGAGCGGGCCGGCACGGGCCCCGAGAGAGGTCCGGGGGCCGATGCCGAGCGGATTTGGGCTGGACTGCAGGACTGCCGCTGTCTCTGTGGGCAATCGTCCGAGCTGTGGTTCGGGACCTCTCGCGGAGAGGGCACCCCTGCAGGTGAGAAGTCCTAAGCCCCCTGCGCGAAGAACGAAGAGCGAAGAACTGCACGCTCGTGGGCTTTCAGAGGTCCGCGGTCCGCAAGGGTTTTTGTTTCTCTGGAGTCGGCACCGCACCCTCCTCCCAACACCCGTTTTACCTCCCTCTCGGTGCCTCCAGCGCCACCTTGGCGCGTTCCACGCGCCAGGGAGGATGGGGTGACGCACAGCGCGGGCCCAAGACATTCGCGCTGACCTCCGAAAGTTCATGCTTGTGTTGCTTTTCTCCCTCTGCACACCCCCTTGCCGCGCCATCTGTGCCGCCTCGGGCACGCCAGGGGTCAGCGCCGACTCAAGAAATCCATGCGGACCGCCGTTGCTTTTCTTCAGCGCTGCAGAGGAGAAAGCCAAGGCTGCTGCTGGTTTCGAGAAGGACCATCGTGGGCGCCGTAACGCGCTGGCGCTTTCGTGCGTGGAATCGGGGCTGGAGCCCAGTGGCATCGCCACTTTTCCCGTCACGGTGCGCAGCCTCACGATGCGCTTTGGTTGAACGAGCGCCGCCTTGGTCTGGTCTCGTGCTCTCCTTTCGGCTGAGGGCCGGGCCAGGAGGCCGTATCACCAGCAGCTGTGCCCAGAGCGAGTCACGGAGGCTTGGTTGGTGGGGGGTGATGTTCTTGTCCATTATTATTTTACTAGTTCCCCCCGCTTCTCTCCTGATGTGAACCCAGGATCAGCTCAAGTACATGGTCCACGATTGCTCGGCCGACTTCGACGAATGGGAGGAGGGACCTGATCCCCTCGGCGCCCTCGCCCTGAGTCTCCCAGCCGTGCTCATGACCGCTGGAGATGTGCGCGGGAGGAGGAGGAGGAGAAGGAGGACCGGTGTAAACGCAAGACGCATCCACGGTGATACCAACAATCTTCCCTCCAAGGTACCTGTTCATAGGTCCCTACGTAATACAATTGTCTGTCATCGGGAAGTGGCCCATGGGAAGACAACCGCTTGCTAATCCTCGATCGTGCCAAAGCGTTGTTCTTGCGACTTCAACGCCGCGGATCAATCTGACGGCTGCGCCCCGACAGTCCTAAATTGCACCAGAACGCCGTTCTTGGGACTTCAACACCGAGACTCAACGCGACTTGCTCCTTGACAACCCTGTATCGTGCCAGAACACACTTCCTGGGACTTCGACCATACGAACCCCTGAAACTGCTGCAAGCGTTGAAGACGAATGTGCGCGGCGCTAAGGCGAGAGCATCAGTTTGAAAAGGATTCGCCCTCCATTCGTGATGATGTTTCAAACTTGAAAGACGAGTGCCCGCGGCGCTAAGGCGCGAGCCACATTTTGAAACGGGCCCGCCCCCCGTCCGTGGAATGTGTGCAAACTTGTAGGACGAATGCGCGCGGCGCTAAGGCGAGGGCCACGTGCGGAAAAAAGCCCGCCCTCCACGCGCGGAGCAGATGCAAGCTTCAAAGACGACTTAGCGCAGCGCTAAAGCGAGAACCACATTTTGAAAACGACCGGGCCCGCCATCCGTGAAACCGCTGCAAACTGTCAAAACGAATGTGCGCGGTTATAGACGGGAAAACCACAGCTTGAAGAGAGGGCCCTACCTCCATCCGCGAAGCTGCTGCAAGCTGTCAAAACGAATGTGCTTGGCGCGAAGGCGAGAGCCGCACACGTGTTGAAATGGTCCCGCCCTCCACTCGCGAAGCTGTTGCAAAGCTCAGACGTCAGGACCATACATTGAGAGGCGGTCTGTGGAGAAGCGCCCAGCCCGCCCTACCCACACGTCTAGGGGCGCGACACGGAAGAGTTAGTCACAAAGAAAAAGGATGAAGGAGGAGGAGGAGGAGGAGCGGAATGGAGGGCCAAGCCCACACACCTCCGCGCGACGAGCCTTCGCCTGGGGCTCCTCCTCAGCCGACTCCACTTCCTCCTCGCTCTTCTTTCCCATGGCTCTCGCGGTCGTCTTCTTGGGTTTCGCTGTCGCCCCCTTGCGCCACGCAGCGCAGGAAAGCAGAGAGAGAGAGAGAGAAAAAGACAGAGAGACAGAGAGAGAGAGAGAAAAAAAAAAAAGACAGAGTGAGACAGAGAGGCAGAGAGAGAGAGAGAGAGCGAGAGAGTTCTGGAGAAAACGCGAAGACGAGGAGAGAAGGAGGGGGACGAGCACGGTTACGAGAAGCTGCGGCGGCGGGGCAGGGCGGCAATAACAGGGTTCGGCGGGGAGGGGAGGTGTGTTCGTTTCGACGTCTTCCCTGGATCGAGGACCCAGACATCCGACGGTATGATTTTTCCCAACCATCCTGTGGTGTTGGGTCCTAGTGCCCCGCGTCACTCCTCCTGTCCTCTCCTCCTCCCCCTAATCCTCCCTCCTCCCACAGGAGCGCCGCCCTCTCTCCTCTCCTCTCCTCTCCTTTCCATTTCGACACACCCCTCACACGTTTCGTGGCCCCACAGGGAGCTCCACCGAAGGCCCCAATGGCTGCGTTCGCATGCGCTCCACCTACTTCGGCACTCCCCTCACACGTTTCGTGGCCCCACAAGGAGCCCGACCGAAGGCCACAGTGGCTGCGTTCGCATGCGCCCACCGCGCCCATGTCGGCACACGTGTCACACGTTTCGTGGCCTCACAGGGAGTTCCACCGAAGGCCCCAATGGCTGCGTTCGCATGCGCCCACCGCACTCATTTCGGCACACCCCTCACACGTTTCGTGGTCCCACAGGAGCACCCAATTTGCCATACCCATCACACGTTTCGTGGCCCCACAGGGAGCTCCACCGAAGGCCCCAATGGCTGCGTTCGCATGCGCCCACCGCACCTATTTCGGCACACCCCTCACACGTTTCGTGACCCCACAGGGAGCCCCAGCGAAGGCCCCTGTGGCTGCGTTCGCATGCGACCACCGCACCAATGTCGGCACACACCCCGCACGTTTCGTGGCCCCATAGGGAGCCACACCGAAGGCCACAGTGGCTGCGTTCGCATGCGCCCACCGCACCTATTTCGGCACACCCCCCACACGTTTCGTGGCCCCATAGGGAGCCACACCGAAGGCTACAGTGGTTGCGTTCGCATGCGCCCACCGCACCCATTTCGGCACACCCCTCACACGCTTCGTGGCCCCACAGGGAGCCCCACCGAAGGCCCCAGCCGCTGCGTTCGCACGCGCCCACCACACCCATGTCGGCACCCTTCACACGTTTCGTGGCCCCACAGGGAGCTCCACCGAAGGCCACAATGGCTGCGTTCGCATGCGCCCACCGCACCCATCTCGGCACACCCCTCACACGTTTCGTGGCCCCACAGGGAGCTCCACCGAAGGCCACAATGGCTGCGTTCGCATGCGCCCACCGCACCCATTTCGGTACATTCTTTGCACGCTTCCTGGCCCCACAGGGAGCCCCACCGAAGGCCACAATGGCTGCGTTCGCATGCGCCCACCGCACCCATTTCGGCAAACCCTCACACGTTTCGTGGCCCCAAAGGGAGCTCCACCGAAGGCCACAGTGGCTGCGTTCGCATGCGCCCACCGCACCCATGTCGGTACACCCCTTACACGTTTCGTGGCCCCACAGGGAGCTCCACCAAAGGTGGCTGCGTTCGCATGCGCCCACCGCACCCAGTCAGAAAAAACCCTCACACGTTTCGTGGCGCCACAAGGAGCTCCACCAAAGGCCACACTGGCTGCGTTCCAATGCGCCCACAGCACCAATGTCGGCACAGCCCTCACACGTTTCGTGGCCCCACAGGGAGCTCCACCGAAGGCCCCGGCACAACCCTCATGTGTTTCGTTGCCCTTTAAGGATCGCTACCGAAGAAGATATTCACACTTGCGGTACGCACAGCTGCATATGGTTGGGTCCTTCGCCAGGATAATTTTAATCCGCGGCACCAGAGGCCGGGCCCCTTCCCCCGTGCCAGCTTTTCTGATGGCCCCAGGGCCCCATGGCAGGCCCAAGCGGTCGAGGTCAAGGGAAATTATCAGAATGAAGAAGGTCACATAGTTGGAGAGTTGGGCTCCTTCCCCGAAACCTCTGCTGGGGGGCGTTCTGACCTGCATTTCGAGGCGGACTCAGCCGCGGCGAAAAGGAGCTCCCTGGAGGCCGAGAAAGGGGCGAAGCATATTCCACAACCCCGCTCCTCGAAGTTCGATCCTCCAGGTCCGACTTCATTCCCTCCATCTTCAAAGTTCGATCCTCCAGTTCGATCTTCGAAGTTCGAGCCACCAAAACCTCGCTCCCCAGAGTTCGCTCCTGCAGGTTCGACTTCATCCCCTCCCTCTCCATCCTCGCTGAAGATCTTCGCTGGCGATGTTTCTCCCCGAATCCCCGAATTCCGCCCGAAGAGTCTGGCCGCTCAGGAAACAAGGAAAAACCATGGGACACATCCCGAGGGGACTCTTCGGACGCACCCCCATCGAGGATGCACGCCCCCCCATCGTACATCCCAGGGTTGGGCCCCAAATTTCTGGTCCATTCCAGGACCCCACGCAGCCTGGGATAGGGGTCGACATGTCCCCTCTGAGATCTGGGCCCCTGGATCGAGGGGCTGGGGCTCTCGGTGTGCCTCTGGCCCTCCATGGTGCCCTCCGTAGAGACCTCCTGGGCGAAGAAGGCTTCCAAAAGCGTGGCGGAGGCTTGCCACCAACAAACACCTCGCTCCCCGGAGCTCGCTCCTGCAGGTTCGACTTCATCCCCTCCCCCTCCGCCCTCGTCGAAGACCTCGGTCCCTGCATCGAGGGGCCGAGGTTTTCGGTGTGCCTCCGGCCCTCCAGGGACCCTCCGTAGACCGCCGGAGACCAGGGTCGGACATCCTCGTCGCGCCCAGCGGCACCCGACCGCGGTCCCCGTCAAGGGCGTCCGCGCCGAGGGAAACGGCAGCGGTCGCGGCCCTCTGCCCGACGGCTCGAAAATCCAGATCAGCAGCGCCCGCGAGTCGACGATGGCCTCAGCAGGCGTCACTGGGTGGGCCAGAAAGGTCCCTCGGGCATGCTCTTCACACTCCTCTGTAGTCGCCAGCAGCGCCTGAAACATGTTGTAGACTTACTTGACAGGTTTTCCCAGGAGCCCCTCCAGCTGCCCAGGCATCGCTCGCTCGCTTCTCCTCCTCCTCCTCCTTCTCCTCCTCCTCCTCCTCCTCCTCCTCCTCCTCCTCCTCCGACCACCACCCCCTCTCTGGGCCAGGGTTCGTTCGCTTCTGTGGCTCGTTCGTGTCCTCGTCTCGTTCGTGCCCGCGTGGTCCTGGGTCCGTTCGTTCGCGTCCGGGGTCCACGGCCGGCGTCACCATGGCCTGGATTTGTTTGTTCCCTCTCGCATGGGCACATATGATGCCCTGCCCGCTGCAGGTCTGCTATAGGGCGCGGGCCCGACATGCTGCAGGGTGGGCTGAGCGCTCGCTCGATGCATCACGGCGATGGCCCTCCAGAGGCTTCCCGTTCAATCTGGGTATGAGGCCTGCCGCTCGCCTCGCACTCGCCCCTCGGGCCTCTCACGCGTCGACTGCTGTTCGGTCGGGCCTCTGTCTCGATCTTGGCGTGGCCCTTCCTGCAACCAGGCTCTATCGTCGGCCTCTCGTCGGATGGGTCGGCGCGCCAGGGGAGAGCGAGGGAACGGGCCTGAGATCGACAGAAAGGGGCTCCCCAAAAGAAGAGTGTGCCTCCTCCCTCCGCTCCGCCTCCTCCTCGTCCGCTGGGAGATGAAGTGCACGCCCAAAACCAGGCCGTCGCATATTTGCTCCTGTCCGCATCCTGCTGGGTAACGCTTCCTGGCCGGGTCGTGAGGCCATGTCCGCACAAGATCCGAGGTTTTTTGGCGAGTCATTTCTTCAGAGGATGTTCCATCTGATCTCATTGCACGTGACTTTTCCAAGAGCACCCCTGCAGTCGAGGGACTCCCATCGGCCTTTCTCTAAGTTTGGCGGGTCCCGAGTCCCTGATGGCAGAAGTGGCAAGGCTTGCACGACCCAGGGATTGCATGTGTGTTGTTTTCCATTGGTTGATGTTAAGCAACATCCTCTTCTGCCCTATTCCTTGTTTCCTGAGCTCTGAGTTGCTTCTCGCTGTGAAGGACAAGTGGTCGGACGAGAAGAAGTCGTGGTGCTGCGAGAACGTAGAGCGGGGCTGCCCGGACGCGCCTGCGACCACGCTGGCGCCCTACGACTGCTCCGACGGGTCACCTTTTTCTCTCCAGTTCGCGTTTGTTTCGCAGTTCCATTAGATCAGTGTGTTGTGTGTATTCGCACGTACATACATATGTTAGACAGTTGTACACACCGGTGTATCTACACACACACACATATATATATATATATTATCATACGCACCTCTCCGAGGGAGTAGAGCTCAGAGGCGATTAATGCGCACGCGTCCGCGATTTTTCTGGCCGTTTCGCTCGGGACATCTTCGAAATTCTGAAAATCGGTGGCACCCCACATGCAGATCGTGACGTCAGGGTCCAAAAACACACGGGAATTTCAACAGCTTAACATAAAACCTGCAAAAACACATTGTAATTTCAATAATGTTGACCCCGATTCTCGGAGAATGGCGGTTTCGCATGAAAAATCCTCCCAAAATCGAGCCCCAGACCCCTCCTCGGAGCCCCCTGGGGGCCTCCTGGAACCTCCTGGGGCCTCCTGGGGCTTTCTGGACCTTCTGGTACCCCAGACCCCGCCTCGGAGCCTCCTGGAGTTCTCCTGGGCCTGCTGAGGCCGCCTGGGGCCTCCTGGGGCCTCCTGGGGCTTCAGAACTACATGCACACACAGAGACACAAATCACGCCCAACACATCACACGCTAGACAAACATAACATAGACACACACACACACACACACAACACCGACAACACACAAAAAGCACGCACCACACAAAGCACACATCACACACACACACAACACTCACAATCCTGGGGCCTCCTGGAGCCTCTTCTGGTATTCAAGTCGGGCCTCCTGAGGCTTCCTGGGGTCCCTGGTACACACATCGCAAGGTGTGGCAACCCCACTTGCGCTCGAGTGCGACTTCGCTGTTGCATGTCACTCCTGCTTCAAACGCCCCTTCAGCTTGTTGTATGAGCCTGGGCACACACGTGCCACTTGTATATACATAGAGAGAGAGATAGAGATAAACGTCATACGTAAAGGCATACATGCACATGATAGCCAGCGTGGGCCCAACATTGTTGCTCTAGCAACCTTTGTTATGCAATCGTTGTTGTGCAATCTATGTGGTGCAATCAATCATTTGCTCAAGTTGAAGCTGTCCTCTTCACTGCTCGTGCAAACATCCCACCCTCCCACCCGCAACTTGGTCGCAAGACCTCTTTAGACCGTGACGGTGGGTACCAAGTGGCACTTGGCAACGACACCGACGACGACAGCGACAACGACGACGACGACGCCGCCGACAACGACTACGACGACACCGACGACGTCTCCAACGACTTCGACGACGACGACAACGACGACGACGACGACAACACCGACGACGACGACGACGACGCCGACGCTGACGACGACGACGACGACGATGACAACGCCGACGACGACGCCGCCGCCGACGACGACGACGACGCCAATGACGACGACGACGACGGCGACGACGACGGCGACGACGATGACAACGACGACGCCGACGACGACGACGACGTCGCCGACGAAGACGACGACGACGACGAGGGAGGAGGGAGGACGGCGACGGCGACGACGACAACGACGAGGGAGGAGGGAAGACGACGACGACGACGACGACGACGGCGACGAAATAAGAGGAACAACGACGAAACGCCGACGAAGACGACGAGGAAGGAGGGACGACCACGGCGACAACGACGACGGAAACGACAACGACGCTCAGACGACGACGACGACGACGAGAAAAGACAGAGGACGACGACGGCGACGACGACGACGACGAGGGAGGAGGGAGGAGGGAGGACGGCGACGACGACGACGACGACGACGCAAGAGCGCGCGCGCAAGCTTTTGTTGAAAACCCGTGTTGCGAAATCATGTGTTGTTGTATGTTTTTGGGGCACATGGTTTTGAAATATTTCCAGTACCGAAGGTTTTTGAAGGATTTCGGCATGCGCGCGCGACGACGCGCGCGTCTGCATTTCGTTAAGTTTTTTGCAGGGGGTTCTCGCGACGGCACGCGAGCAAGGGCGTTCGAAAGATTTCGACACGCGCGCGCGCGAAGCCCGTTGTTTCCTTAAGATTTCGCAAGAGCGCGCGCGTAAGCTTGGAAACTCGGGTGTTGCGAAATCATGTGTTTTTGTATGTGGCTTGGAAACTCGGTTTTGAAATCCTTTCGAAACCGAAGGTTCTTGAAGGATTTCGGCATGGGCGCGCGACGACGCGCGCGTGTGCACCTCGTCCCGTTTTTTTCCAAGGGATTATTGAAAACTTATGGTTTTTGATCAACGAGGTCGCGCGGATAGTATTTGTTGCAGAGGATGGCGGGGGGGAGTGATACCAGTTTCCCTGGGATCGTACGAATTCATATTTAGGATGGACGAGTGTGTAAACAATGAAATCGCAATACCCCAGGGGGGATCGTGAACTCCGGGGGGGGTGGTAGAGTCGATTCTCCCTTTGGAAAGGAGAATCGACGTGATGCAATTAATTGTGAAAGGCTGGGAGCTGTCAACTCCACTGCTCGCGCAATCATCCCACCCACCCGCCCGCAACTCCGTTTGCAGAACCCATGCGGCGATTGCGATGAGTGCCTGGCGATGGCTGGTGCATCTGATCGGCCGCGCTAGCCCGCGCATGCTTGCGCGCACAGCGGCCAGCTAGCTTGGCGCGACGGGCGCGGCCGCGGTGTCGCCGACCGCTGGGCATTTCCCAGCGCCCACTTCGTGAATTGGGCGGGCGCGGTATCATGGCGACGTCGACAACGTTTGGCACGATGGTGTTACTAGCGATGATGGTGATGATGATGGCGATGCCGGCGGCAGCGCCGATGACGGCGCCGATGCTGATCATGCCGATGGCGATGATGATGGTGATGCCCTCGCGTCGGTGATGAAAGGTTTGCAAACATTTCGACACGCGCGCGCGGTTGACCCGAGCGAATGGCCAGCATTGTGTTTTTCGGCATGCATCGTGCCCCCGTGCTCCCCCAACACGCGCGCAAGGGTGTTCGAGTAATTTCGACATGTGCCCGCGGGAAGCCCGTTTGTGCGAATGTGACGACAGTGTTGGACAGCGATGGCTGCCTTAAGAAGCTGCAACATCGAACGCCCGCGCAGACTTGTTCTGGAAAACTGATGTTGCAAACTCATACGCGTTGTCTACGTTTTCGGAACACTGGGTACCCGTTCTGAAATTCTTGCTAAATCAACGCGCAATGACGTTCGTGGGTCACTGCGCCCCGTTTTTTTTATAGGATTCTCGACATCGGATGATTTGTGGTAAACGGACACGCGCGCATTTTCCCCAGCGGCGGTGGGAGCTTCAATAATGATTTGGCTGGGGTGGCAGGGGTGGCACGAGTTCATGCTTACGACGGAATGGGGCAGAATCATACGCACATTGCAATACGACAAAGTGGGCAGCGAATCCCGTCCCCAGGGGGCGGTCGGTCCCAATGCCTTTTGTCAGACAAGAAATCTACGCGGTGCAATCCACGTGGTGCAACTCACTTGCCGGACTTGGAGTTGTCAACTCCACTGCTCGCGCAATCATCCCACCCGACCACCCGCAACGTGGTTTGAAAACCCATGCGGGAGCGATTGCGATGAGTGCTGGGTGCTGGCTGGTGCAACTCTGCGGCCGCGCTAGCCCGCGCATGCTCGCGTGCGCAGCGGCCAGCTAGCTTGGCGCGACCAGCGCGACCGCGGTGGCGCTGACCGTTGGGCACGTCCCAGCGGGCACTTCAGTGCGAGTTGGCGACTTGGGCGGGCGCGGTATCATGGCAACGTCGACAACGGTAGACACGATGATGGTAGTAGCGATGCTGGCGACGATGCTGACAGCGACGACGGGGCAGCCAGTGATGGCGCCGATGGTGATCACGCCGACGACGCTGACGGCGTCTTCGCGCCGGTGATGAAGGTCCCCGAAGGAATTCGCAATGCGCGCGCGACACACGCGTGAGAGTGGCTCGCATGGTATTTATTATTTGACACGGACCGTGCCACCCAAGCACGCGCGCAAGGGCGTTCGAACGATTTCGACATGCGCGCGCGAAGCCCGTTTGGTAGCATGTTCTGAAAATGTTGAAAAACCTTTGGTTGTCTTATAGAATTCGCAAGAGCGCGCGCATGTTTTAGTTGAACATCCGCGTTGCGAAACCATGTTTTTGTTCGAATGTTTTGTGGACGGTCGATTTTGGAATCATTCCGACACCGAAGGTTTTCAAGGATTTCGGCATGCGCGCGCAAAGCGCGCGCGCGTGCGCACTTCGTCCCATATGTTGTTTTTTTACCCAAGAAAAAAAAACATATGATTTTTTATAAACGGGTGCGCGCGCATAGTTTTTTTTTTTGCAAGGGAACCGACGCGGGGGGGGGGGGGGGGCGATACCGGTTTGCTGTGATCGTACGAACTCACAAGTAGGATGGGCATGGGGGCAGAATCATACGTGGTTTGCAGAGGTTCCCGGGGAGTCGAGAAGTCCAGGGGGAGGGTGGTAGAATTCATTTTTTGGTAAAGGGAGGAGAACCTATGCCGTGCAACATATGTGGTGCAACCCGTGGTGCGCAATAGAAGTGGTGACGGATATGGTATTCACCCAACGTTCTGCTACATACGTTATGCAAGTTACGTTTGCACGTTCTGATTTGCACCCTATCTAATGCAACTTGCGTGGTGGACCCTGTGTTGTGCAATATACGTGGTGCAATATATGTGATGAAGTTTATGTTGTGCTGTCCATGGGGTCAATATATGTTGTGCACCCATGGGGTTGCAACGCGCGCTGTGCAGTCCACGTGGTGCAATATATGCGGTGCAACCTGTGTTGTGCAATCAATCATTTGCTCAAGTTGAAGCTGTCTTCTCCACTGCTCGTGCAAACACCCCACCCTCCCACCCGCAAATTGGTCGCCAGACCTCTTAAGACCGTGACGGTGGGTACCAAACGGCACTTGGCAGCGACACCGACGCCGACGACGACAGCGACAACGACGACGACGACGCCGCCGACAACGACTACGACGACACCGACGACGTCTGCAACGATTTTGGCGACGACGACGACAACGACGTCGACAACACCGACGACGACGACGACGCCGACGCTGACGAAGACGATGACAACGCCGACGACGACGCCGACGACGACGACGGCGGCGACGACGAAAACGACGACGACGACGTCGCCAACGAAAACGGCGACGACGACGAGGGAGGACGGAGGACGACGACGGCGACGACCACAACGACGAGGGAGGAGGGACGACGACGACGACGACGACGACGACGACGACGGCGACGAAATAGGAGGGACAACGACGAAACGCCGACGAAGACGACGAGGGAGGAAGGACGACCACGGCGACAACGACGACGGAAACGACGACGACGCCAAGACGACGACGACGACGAGGAAAGACAGAGGACGACGACGGCGACGACGACGACGACGAGGGAGGAGGGAGGACGGCGACGACGACGACGACGCAAGAGCGCGCGCGCACGCTTTTGTTGAAAATCCGTGTTGCGAAATCATGTGTTTTTGTATATTTTTGGACATACGTTTTTGAAATCGCTCCAGTACCGAAGGTGTTTGAATAATTTCGACATGCGCGCGCGACGACGCGCGCGTCTGCACTTCGTCCATTTTTTGCAGAGGATTCTCGCGACGGCACGCGCGCAAGGGCTTTCGAAAGATTTCGACATGCGCGCGGGCGAAGCCCGTTTGGTAGTATTTGTTTGAAAAATATTGAAACATTCATGGTTCTCTTAAGATTTCGCAAAAGCGCGCGTAAGTTTTTTTGTAAATCCGTGCTGCGAAACCATGTGTTTTTGTATGTGTTTTGGAAACTCGATTTTGAAATCCTTCCGAAACCGGAGGTTCTTGGAGGATTGCGGCATGCGCGCGCGACGACGCGCGCGTGTGCACTTCGTCCCGTGTTTGTGCAAAAGGTTTTTGAAAACTCATGATTTGTGATAAACGAGAGCGCGCGCATAGCATATTTTGCCGAGGATGGCGGGGGGAGTGATACTGGTTTTGTTGGGATAGTACGAATTCATATTTAGGATGGACGACTGTGTAAAGTTAATCTGAAATCGCAATACCCCAGGGGGTATCGTTAGCTTCGGGGGGGGTCGAGCCTATTCTTCTTTAAGAGAGGAGAATCTACGTGGTACAATTTACCTTGCCGGCCCTGAATTTGTCAACCCCACCGCTCTCGCAATCATTCCACCCACCCACCCGGAACGTGGTTTGCAAAACCTTGCGGCGGCGATTGCGATGCTTGCTCGGCGCTGGTTGGCGCATCGCTGCGGCCGCGCTGGCGCGCGCAGTCTAAGACAGATCGGCCACCTAGTTTGGCGCGACCGATGTGGCCACGATGGCGCTGAGTGCTGGACAGTTCCCAGCGCGTTTCGCAGGCCGCGCTGACGCGCGGGCACTTCGGTGCGCGGTGATCTGGGCGGGCACGGTATCAGGGCGACGTCGACAGAAGGCAGAAACGATGATGATAGCAGCGGTGATCGTGACCATCATGATCGCGAGGATGACAAGACCAATGGTGGCGCCGATGTTGATCACGCCGATGACGATGATGATGGCCACGCGTCGATGATAAAAGGTTCTGGAACGATGTAGGTATATGCGCGCAGCCAACAGGCGCGAGATGCCCGCATAGGATTAGTTGACAAGGACCGTGATCCCTCGCACTCGCGCGAGGGTGGCCGATTGATTTCGGCACGCGCGCGCGAAAGGCCCGCTTGGTCGCAGGTGATGAACATGTTGAAAGATGTGCATTAAGTACTCACAAAAACTCGCGAACCTATTTGTGTTGAAGAATGTTTGCGATGTCGTGGTGTTTTCAAACGTGCCTGGGCGAATCGACTTTGAAATCTCTACGAAACCTAAGGTTGTTGAAGGAGTCGAGCATGCGCGCACGCGCGCGCGACAACGCGCGCGGTGCACTTTGTATAGTTTTTTTGCACGGGCGCGTTTTTGAAAATTGACGCATTGTGATGAGCGTGTGCGCGCGCGTCGTACTATTTGATTCGTATGAAGGGGGGAGGTCGATACCCGCTGGGCGGGCATGCTACTAGTTTCGAGAAACGAGTGTCATGGCTGACGGTGGTCAGTCAGAGCGCCGGACGTTGGAGGATCCTGCAGAGCCATGGGTGCACCGACCTGGGTTTCGGGAGCGCGAGATCTTGCATGATCTTGCAAATCCTGACTGGCCTGGTCTGGCTTGACCCGGGGCCGTAGGTCCCCGACGAATCTATATTTACGAATGAACGGTGGGCAGAATCATGTGTAAGTTGTATTACCACAGGGGGAGCAGATAAAGTCGGGGTGGTGGTAGATCCTAATTATTTCGTTGGGTCAGGAACTCGATGTTGTTAAATCTACGCGGTGCAATATACGTGGTGCAAGCCATGTGGTGCAATTCGCCCTTTCAAATTTGAAGTTGTCAACTCCGCCGCTCGCGCAACTATCCCGCCCTCCAACCCGCAACCTTGTTTGCAAAACCCCTGCGACGGCGATTGCGATGCTTGCTCGGCGCCGGCTGGCGCATCGCTGCGGCCGCGCTAGCGCTCGCAGCTTCGCGCGCACAGTGGCCAGTTACATCTGGCGCGACCGACGCGGCCGCGGTGGCGTTGACCGCTGGGAACCCCCAGCGCGCCCCGCAAGCCGCGCTGACGCGCGGGCCCTTCAGTGCGAGTCGGTGACCCGAGCGGGCGCGGTATCATGGCGACGTCGACAAGATGATGATCGTGTCGTTGTTGGCGACGACGATGATGATGACGACACTCAGGCCGATGACTGCATTGATGCTGATCGCGCCGATGACCGTGATGGTGTCCCCGCGTCGGTGACGAAAGTTTTACTGGCATTCCGACATGTGCACGCGGCCAACGGGCGCGGGTGGCCCGCATGATATGATTTGCCAGGGGCCGCGCCTTCCCTCCCGCAAACGCGCAAAACATTGTCGACCGATTCCAATTTGCGTGCGTGGTCGCATTTGATGAACACGTCTCAAAGGCGCGCGAGCAGTTGTTTGATAAACGACGTTGCAAGACCGTTTGTTTCCACAGGAGTTCGGGGACGTTGGTTCTGAAATCCTGCGACATTTAATTGTGCTGAAGTATTTCGGCATGCGCGCGCGATGACGCGCGCGTGTGGTCACCCTATTTGTTTGCACAGGCTGTCGCTCTAGATTTATGTTGATGTGTATATACACGTGTGCGCATATGCTGCGCTATGTTTGTAAATGTTGTGCTTATGTATTTCTCTCTCTCTCTCTCTCTTTGTCTCGCTCTATCTCGCTCTCTCTCTCTCTCTCTCGCTCTCTCCAGAAGTGTACATATACGTCTGTATGTAGCTAAGCATGTATGCATGTGTTGTCCCATGGCCCCTCGACCTCTACACATAAACCATGTGTATATATATATATGTTTATATAGACGTGTGTATGCTTACCTGCACACCGTACACATACACGCATCGAGGTGTACTCGCATGTTTCTGCGTTGTTGTGTGTATGTGCATAAACATGCATGTACATGTATAAGTCTATACATGTACCCAGCTTCCTGCGGCCAACCACGACACCGCGCCAGCACACAGCGCAGCGTGAAGGAGGGCATCTTCACGACGCATATTGAAGCTTCTCTAAGGCATCTAGAAGGCCACTGAGATCCTCTCAGGATCCGCTCAAGGCCCTTTTCGGAGGTATTTGAATGGTCGATCGGTGGACCTCTGTGGCAGCGACAGTCGGACGTGAGCAACAGTAGGCGTGAGCAAATGATTGATATGCACGCTACGTGTTCATAGTCGATTCAGCATTATGCCGCGGAGCGCCAGTCGAGCAAGTCTCGAGCGAACAACGGGTAGCGAGTGCAACACGATGATATGTGGACGCCACTCCATCACGCAAAATCATATCCGCGATGTCCGTTCCGAGAGAAGAAGGAAGGACTTCAGGTTGTGCGGGATCTCGATCAGTTTTCACTTGAAGTAAATATCGGCATCATACCTCTTCGGTTCTTCACGTGGGAAGACGCTTGGAACGAGACGAAGAAGGACTGGCCGGGATCTTAGCATCGCGCAGGCATGCGATCGGAAGCGCGGCGACAGTTCGAAGATCGCGACCGCCACGAGTGCCGGGTGCCACCTAGTTGGCGGTCGACGATCAGACCGTTCTTTCGATGTAGCGGCATCCAGCAGCTGTCAAGCGGCAAAAGCTTGGCAGGCCCAGGAACGGGATAAATCGCTCCAGGGCTCTCCGGAACGCTCTCAAAGCGTTCTGGAATGCTCTAGGAAAGCCGCGCCCGATACATCCACCAGAACCGCCGGATCTTTGAGATCCCCGATGTATCCCGGTCCGATTTTATCACGGTCTGGGCCTCGGCAACACGTAAGAGTGATTTTTCGCCGGAGTCATTTTTAGTGCGGGCCCACCAGGGTTTCTAGGCTGAATGCGATGTGATAGCCGCGGCTTGCAGGCTTGGGTTTGGCCTCCCCGCGCCCCCCGAAAGTCGCGCACGAATGTTCCCTTTTGCGCAGGTTCACTCTGTCGCGTAGCCGATGGCCTCGTCTCAGCTCTCGATCGCCAGGAGCTTGTCGGCCAGGGGCAGATATCAAGGGCGGCCGCGGCAGCCCCCTCCTGAGGTGTTGCCTCAACGCGGGCCGGGGCTGCCCGCAGGAGAGCAACGCGACGAGCTCGGAGAAGGACGCGCGTCTCCCACCGTCACCCTGCCCCCCCCCCTCCCTCCGCCCTTACCGTTACGTCGGGCCTGTCCCTCTACAAGGGGAATATCCAAAGATAGCCAAAAAATCAGCTGGGGGCGATTTTTTACCATGTCTGAATATTCTTGGGGTATTTTTTGTCCAATCCGTCCAATGTGATTTGCTTTGGCTATTTTGAATTCTTGGACTGTTTGAATATTTGGCAATCCGTCCAATTTGATTGTTCTTGGGGGGTATTGTTTGACTATTTTGAATTTTTCGTCCAAAGCCCGCCTGCAGGGGGACACGCCCGACCCGACCCCTACCGCCGAGACGCTGTCAGAAGGGCCCCTTGCGGCTCGGGGGCGGGCTCGGGTCTTCGGGCCGCGCCCTCCAAGAGCACTGGGTTCGGGGGGGGCCGCCCGTGGCCGAGAGGCCCCTGCCCTCCTCGGCCAACGTCCCTTATGTGGTACACACCGTTTGTTCCTAACTCTTCGAAAGTTCTTTGATTTTTTTTTTGGGGGGGGGGGCGAGATCCTTTCGTTTCCAATCGTTCTATCCTGGGCCTCTTCCTGGCCACTAGGGGGCCAGGAACAATAAGACACGTGCACAATTGGAAGATGAGCACGATTCGAGAGTGACGACGTGTACGGTCGGACCGGGGCATGAGGTCGAGGTCGGTGTTCGGGGTGGGTACCCCAATGCTCTGAGCGCCTGCTGGATGCTCTTGTGTGCATCCCGGGGGAGGGTATACCCTCGAAGCTGAAGCTCCATCGGCCTGGCCGGCGGAGGGCCTCGTGCTCCTGAAGGCTGTGCTTCTGTCCTTGCCCTGGCATCGCTCGGACGTGTGTATGTCTTTCTCGGCGAGGACCCTTGCGGAGCATCCTGGATCATCGAGCGAAAAAAGCACGCGCGAGACCGAAAAACACACGGGAAGTGGACGTCCGAGCGACGCCAAGGGTGCTCCAGCTGCGCACCTTCGGAGGTCCGCGCCGCCCTCTCGCCTCTGCGCTGCGCCGAGGGCCCCCCCCTGGCGGCGCCCCCTGCGGGCGCGCCGCCCTCGGCGCGCAGAGCGCGCCAGGGCGCGGGGCGCCCAGCGCCGATGCAAGAGGTATGGCGCGGACCTCCCAAAGCTCATGCCCGTGCCCCGGATGATTCGTCGTCTTCTTCTTCTGGCCCAGCTCCTTGCGCCGCACTTCGTCTCTTCTTCAATCCCAGGACTTTCTGAGGGTCGGGGACGACGCTGGGGTGGTGTGGTGTATACTTGTTGTTTGTGCCTCGATGTCCCGGGGAAACAAGGCTCAATGTATACACCAGGGTCCTGTATACACCAGGATCCAATCTCCAGTGCAAAGTTCAATGCAGGGCCAGAAAAAGTGTCGGTGTATAGAGTTCGATTCCTTACCTGATTATTCGTCGACTTCTTCTGGCCCAGCTCCTCGCGCCGCACTTCGTCTGCATCGGGCCTATGGTCCGGCTGCAGCACCAAACGGTACATCTCTCGAGCCTCCACCGGCGAGCCTCGCCAGCGCGCCCTGCGCGCGCCTGGCTCGAAGGGGGCGCGTGCCACGGAGCCGCCTCGGCGGCGCCGCCGTCGTCGTTCGCCGTCGGCGGCATCGTTGGGTATCGTCGTCGGGTCAGTCGTCGTCGTCGTCGTCGCCGTCGTCGTAGCCGTCGTCGTCGCTGTCGTAGCCGTCGTCGTTCGCCGTCGGCGTACCGCGAACAGTTTGGGTTCGGAAGGGGCTGGATGTTCCTCAGGTCCGTCCGCGCTTGTTCCTCCAGCCCTCCTCGTGAAAGAGGACGGTTTGGGGGCCTCAAGGGGGCTTCGTTCCTTACTCAACGTTCCTTGCTTCAGCGGCCCGACTGCACCGCTGCATCACCATAGGTGGTGTTCCCGCCTCAGTGGCCCAGATCCTCGTCGTCTAGAGGTCACACCCGCACGGCCCCGAAGGGAGACCGCGCATCGTGCGTCGCCGGGCGCGAACCGGCGAGGGTGGGTGACTTGCCTTCTCCCGGTCATCCTCCTCCCCCTCCTTCTCCTCCACCTCCTCCGCACGCCCTCTCCACCTCCTCCGCGCGCCCCCCCTCGCAGGGCAACGGCAGCACGCCGGGCGGCAAAACGGGTCGGCGCCTCGGCTTGGACGACGACGACGACGACGGCGACGGTCTCGACGACGACGACGACGAAGATGGCGACGACGCCGACGACGACGACGTCTATCCCGAAGACGACGGTCCCGACGACGACGGTCCCGACGACGACGGCCCAGACGACGACGACGGTCTCGACGACGACGAGCACGGTCCCGACGGCAATGCCCGACGATGCCGTCGCAGCCGACGAACGACATCGACGACGACATCGACGACGACGATCCTGGCGACGACGGTCTCGACGACGATGCCGTCGCCAACGACGACGGCGATGGCGACGACGACGGCGAGTGCGAGGGTGAGAGTGAGGGCGATCGAGGGCCAGGGCTAGGGTAAGGCTGATGATGAGAAGGACGAGGAGGGGGAACTGGGTGGAAGGGAGAGAAAGAAGGCGCCTCGCGAAGAAGATCGATGATCGGGGGGGGCCTTTTTGATATGTCGTGTTGCCACTGGAGGCCTCCACACTCACACACCCAAGGAAGAATCTCCTCTGACATGCAAAGTGAAGTACAACAGGCTCAGACGCATAGACCCTATTCTTGCGCTGCACAAGTGCTTGACAACGCCGTTGGCGATCCGAGCGCCGCAGCAGGATCCAGGCGTCAAGCTCCCAGTGCAGTGCCTAGACATGTATCTATCCATTTGGCGTGACCATCCTGATGTACGGTCAGAGGTATCTCGTAGTTGGCAGACAGTTGTGCAGCAGCTTCGAGGAGTCCCAGAACGGCACCGCACCAAGTATGTCCGAGGACCAGTTTCAGCAGCTATTCTACATCTTATCGAGTCGGGATGATCTGTGTCCTCGGCCACGGGGTGGGGTATCCCAGAACCCCACGAGTTTGCAGGTGATGAGTGGAGATTTGATGATGCGTTGTATACTGGAGTGAAGGCCTTGGACAGCCATGCAGGTTTCCTCAAAGATTTTTCGGATGTGCTGCAGCGACGGTATTGGCAACAGGCTAATCAGCACTATTGTGGTGAAGGCTTGCAGGACGGATCTGATGTCGACTCCTATCGTGTTTTGATTCAGAAATTACTTTACATGATGTTCCGCAGATTGGCCATCGGCTCAGTGAAGTTATGTTGTCGATCGCAGTTGGCAGCACGTGGACGCGTGCAAGGAAGAAGGCAGACCTCCCGCGTTTTGCTGGCACTGACAAGTGCCCTCGTTGCCAGCTTGAGCCTGAGACGCCTCTTCATCGCAGTTGGACGTGCAGTTATAACACCAATAAGGAGGCGTACACCATGACAGAGGATCTAGTGTGTATCAGGCCACGGTGCAAGCGGAGGCAGAGCCAGCCTTTTGGCTAAGGGGACTGCTGCCTGCCCCATGGGTGGCTGCCCCGCCTCCTGCCCACGCTGAGACCTGGGTAGTGACAGGTCCTTTCGAGCTGGGCCCAGGATGTCTTGGACATGGCACGGGCCAGGCTCCGCTGCTGCTCTTTGGCGACGCCAGCGGCGGCCCCGACACCGCTGTCACCAAGTTTCGCCGTGTTGGGTGTGCCATCGCACTTTTCCACGAGCTGGAGCCCACAGTGTCCATTGCAGGCACCATCAGTGGGCCACTCTGCGGCGACAGGCAGGCTGTTCCCCGCGGAGAGCTAAGGAGCCTGCTTCTAGCTGTTTGGGCTACGAGCGGCTTCATCACCTATGTAACAGATTGTGAGCCAGTCATCAAAGGCTGGTACGCCAGACGTTTCGAGTATCCGAGCGGGCCTGATGCGGACCTGTGGGCTCAGCTCGGGCAACTCATGCAGGAGCGTGGTTTCAACTCAGTACCTTTGATTTTCGTGCACTCCCACCTCGGGGGTGCGGAGATCCAGGCTGGAGCCGCTCCGAGATGGGCGGTCACTGGCAACACGATTGTTGATGTTGTGGCGGGAGCTGCGGCCAACGCTGCTCGCTTGCCAGAGTCTCTCCGCCAACGTATTCTCATCCACGAGCGGAGAGCGAGGCTTGTGCGTCTGCGCCTGCTGAGGGCGACAATCGACGCGATGGAGGCCGATGCGGCCCCTGGTGCTCAGGAAAAAGCATCATCCTCCTCCGTCCCCCTTCCTCCCTCTGCTGCTGCCCTCTCCCTCTTCTCTACCTCTCACGCTCTCGATGAGAGTGGGAGGAGGTGCACTTGTTGTGGAGGATCGGCCAGCAGGGTTGCTGCAACAAAGTGGCGTCAGTCAGAATGTTTCCAGCCCGTCAACTATAATGGGTCCATCCTTTATAAGCCCCCCCCCCCCCCCTGGCACGTCTGCAAATAGCGGGGGGGGATCAATCTCATGCCATGCAGTATCATTAACATCTTAAGCTCTGGTATTGTAAGTTGTGCGGTTCGTTTGTCTCCGAGGTCCTACGTGAGGTTGGCACGGCCTGTACCAAGCGTGTCACCACACATCGAGCTGCATATCTCGATCGGATTTCGCGTGGTTTATGGCCTAAGGTTTTAAGTGCACGTGAGAAGCAGAGCCGTGGTCGTGTATAGTCATGCCTTCATGTGTAATTCGTCACGTAATGTTGGCACAGTTGACTCTGTCACATGGTCATACTCATACTCATACTCCTCCTCCTCCTCCTCCTCATCCCCATCATCATCATCATCATCATCATCATCATCATCATCATCATCATCATCATCATCCGCCCCCCTCCTCCGCGTCCTCCTCCTCCCGTCTCCTCCTCTTCCCTCCTCCTCCTCCTCCTCTCCTCCTCCTCCTCCCTCCTCCTCCTCCTCCTCCCTCCTCCTCCTCCCCTCCTTCTCCTCCGCTCCTTCTCCTCCTCCTCCTCCTCCTCCTCCTCCTCCTCCTCCTCCTCCTCCTCCTCCTCCTCCTCCCGTCTCCTCTTTTCTGCCTCCCGCGCGGCGGACTGGGGGGGGAATGGGAGAGAGGGCGTACCAGGCGCAGACGCCGGTCGGCAGGGACAGCCTGCGGCGGACACTGGGAGCAAGGCCTTTTTCCACGGCCATGGCTCTGATCGGGACGCCTGCGGGACCTCGAAACAGGACCTGCGTACCAAAGCAGCCCTCTGCGTGGATCTCTGGCACACAGAAAAGTACACCAGAGTTGCACCGTGAGGGGGCCCGCTTGTGCGCAAGGAGGAGGATGAGGAGGAGGAGGAGGAGGAGGAGGAGGAGGAGGAGGAGGAGAGGAGGGGGGCGGCAGCTCCTGCTCCTCCTCGTCTTCCCCCTCCTCTTCCTCATGCTCCTCCTCCTCAACCCTTCTCTCCTCCCCCATGTTGATCTTCCTCGTATTGATCATCTTCAACTTATCTTTTTTCTCACCCTGTCAGTCACTCAATCTCCCCGCGGATAGCGCGACAACCGCTACCGTCTCCAGGCGGCGGTGCCACGGGGTCCAGTGAGACCCCTTGCTCCTCCTCGGGCTCGGGCTCGGGCTCCGCCGCTGCGGCTCCAGTCCCGGGCGGTCCGAGAAGCGAGAGAGTCTGAAGGTCGTGATCAGAGGGGAGGCTCTCCCCCAAGGCAGGGTCAGAGAACACCCCCCGTTCCGCTGGATACTCGCACTTCTCTCCTCTCGAGCGGGCCGCGTCTAGCGAGTTGCCTCCCAGCTCCACCCCTGCCCCTGCCCCACCTCTGCGCCCCCCCCCCCCCCCCCGAGGCAGGGCCCCCATGCCTCCCCCCGAGCCCGCCCCCCCTCGCAGAGCGGCGCTGCCCCCCTCCGCGTCAGCCGTGCATCCGCCCCGGTCTCCTCCGCGGCAGGGGGGGGCGCCCCCCGCGGGCCCCGAGGGCCCCTCTGCCCCCCCACGCGCCCTGGAGCGAGGGGCCCAGTCTCAGGGAGAGGGCCAGGGCCCTCCAGAGCCATGGAGGCGCTCCAGGAGCGGCTCCTCCTCCTCCTCCTCCTCCTCCTCCTCCTCCTCCTCCTCCTCCTCATTCTCATTCTCGTCCTCGCCCGAGGAGGATCGAACGTCTCGGGCTCCCAAAAGTTCAAGCAGTGGCGAAGCGCCCTGGCGTGCCTATAGGCCCACCAAGCAATGTTTTGAGAACTGATTTGCGGTTTTCCACGATTCTGTCTTAGAACATGTCTGGCTGGGACTGTCTTGTGTTAGCACATCGGGCTTATGGTCTTAGAACATTGTTTCTGTTATCAGAGCATGTTTGGGTTCTAAGAGCATGTCGTGGTAGGCCTATAGGAATGCCGGGACGGTCGGTCCCTGCTCAAAAAGTGGGGCCAGAGCGGAAGGGGTCGGAGGCTCGCGCCGCGTCGAGGATGCCTCGGGGAAGGCGGCTCGAGGTGGAGCCCGAGGTTCCTCTGCGCCGATGCATCGCCGCTGCATCGCCGCTGCGGCGCGACGTCTCGACCCCGAGGCTTCTGGCCTGGGAGGCTCGAAGGAGCTGCCATCTCTTCCTCGCCCCGCCCTCGGCCGCTCCACTGGCCGATGCCGCGCCGCGGCGGGGGGGGCGAGCTGGGCGGCCTCCAGGGCGACGAGCTGGCCGCCGCCGCCCGGGGCCTCTTCGCCATGCCGGGCTCCGAGGTCTACCTGGCCTGCGCCTCGCGTGCGCCCCTGGCGCGGCGCACCAGTCGGTGGCGAGCCCTGGGGGGAGGAAGCGAGAAGGAGAAGGCTCGACTAGACGTAAGAGGGACCTTTCGCCGGAGTGACCTTTGGTGCGGGCCCAGTGGGGCCCCCCGATCGCCAAACGCGATGCGATCGGAGCGCCCCGCGCGCCTGTCTTTGGTCCCCCCGCGGCCCCCCCAAAAGCCGCGCAGCAAAGGTCACTTACCCAGGATCACTCCTGCGTGTAGCCCAAAGACCCTCTCAGAAGGCCGCGGGGCTTCTCAGAAGCCTCCGCGCCTTCTGGGAAATTGTTTTGGGTCTTCGGGGGGGGCTCAGAAAACATGTCAGGAAGGCCGGGGGACCTCCGAAGCATGAGAGGAGGCCTTCTCCTCCTCACTTCCCCCCCAATGCTCGCCGCCGAACCATGAGCGTCGGCACCCAGGCGCCGAGGGCGTCAGCTGTGCACCGGCGCCGATCCCAGACCCCCTCGAGTCAAGACAAAATCACGGCGGAATGTTGTTTCCTCTGTTTTCAGCCTTTGGGGCTTTCGCCGGGATTCGGGGCCGTCAGAAAACGCCTCAGCATGGGAAGCCGGTCCTGGGGAATGGGTCGAGACCTCTGGGGGTCGACATTACGAAAAGCTCGTGGCGTCGGGGGTCTGGGATCCCAGCCAAGCACATCCTGGGCCCGAGATCGGCGTACACGCCTTCCTGCACAAGCCAGGAGGGCGTATGCACCGATCCTGGGCCCAGAGTGAGCCTGACCCAGGCTTGGTGTTGGTGTATACCCCGACCTCCGACGTAGTGCTTTTGTTTCACTTCGTGGGCCCCTGCAGGGTTCGACCCATTCCCTGGGACCAGCTTTCCTTCCAGAGTAGTTTCTACGGTCCCGAGGCCGGGTACGGCCCCCCGCGGGCAGAACGTGACCAAGAACTTCCCGTAGATTGATTCATAATTCGAGCATGTCCGAGTAGTTGGCGCCCTCCTACCAGGCGATGGGCCTAAAGCAGCAGCCGTGGACGCTGAGGGACGGCTGCGACGCTCGCGTGCGCGCCTCGTTCGCGGAGCTGGTTGGCTGCGCGCCAGCGGAGGTGGCGTTGTGCCCATTCAGGGCCCCCGGAATGGGGATTCGTTGATAAGTTGGGGCGCTGGGCACGCCCGAGAAAATTGCAGCAGTTGGTCGAACCATTTTCGATACTTCATTCTCTCCATGTGGAATGTTTAATGTCCTAGTTACCCACCTCTTGTCAGCCAGATGGCGGCCGCTTAGCTCGCAGCCCATCTTTGGTAGTCTGGGGTCTCGCTGCGCGAGTCCGCAGTTGCCTCCCTGCGCGAGCCCAGGGCTTCTTCAGTGCCCGGCGGGCGGTGTGAGGCTCTGTTTTGCGAGTTCCCTTTCGTTCCCTTCCCCCCCCCCCGCTCTCCAACAAAAAAGGCGCCGTAAGACAATCGAGGTCCTGGTTGTCGGCGGCCCGCCCCGGGGGGGAACGAGAGGGGGGTTGGGCCTTCTCAGAAGGCTCGGAAGGCCTCGGACCTTCTGCGAAGTCGTCTAAGCCGTCCCCGAGCACGCAGAAAACTTCTCGGCAGGCGCGAGGGGCCTCTGAGTAGCCCCGCCGCCTTCTGAGAAGGCCTGCTCCTTCTCACTTCCACCCCGGGCTCGCCGCCGACTTGCTCGCCGAGTTTGGCACGAGGCTGGCAGTGTCCCTGCTCAGGGGGGCCCGACCCATCCACGTCCTTCGCCATCTCCACGGCGGCGCGCGCGGTGGCGTTGCGCACGCAGCGCGACGACGTGGGGCTCTTCGGGGTAACGTCAGGGGGGATGGGCTCGTGGGGGGGTGAAGAGCAGGAGGAGGAGGAGGAGGAGGAGGAGGAGGAGGAGGAGGAGGACGACGAGGAGGAGGAGGAGGAGGAGGAAGGGCAGGAGGGGGGAGGAGAAGGAGGAGGGGGAGAAGGGGGGAGGAGAGGGAGGAGAGAGGAGGAGGGGGAGGGGAGGAGGGGGAGGGGAGGAGGGGGAGGAGAGGAGGAGGGGGGAGGAGAGGGAGGAGAGAGGAGGAGGGGGAGGAGGAGGAGGTTCGAGTTTGAGGTTTTCGGCCGCTTTCGTCTGCTCCTGGCGGTTTTCCTGCCTCGGGATGCCTTCCAACGGCTGCGCCTCGCCGAGCTTCTGGGGGTGCCCGGATCGCCCCGAACGCCCGCCGGCGAGCGAAGTTGCAACCTGAGCGCCAGGGGCAACCTTAGGGGAGTGATGGGCTTCGTGGGGGACGCAGCTGCTCCCAACCGCGAACTCATCGCCGGTAGGGGCTCGACAGCCCACCGCGCCCAGGAGCGTTCGGATTCGCTATGGGGGGGCATATCGCCCATCTGCATTAGACAAAGCGAGACGGAATCATGCCATGAGGAATCTTGGGGCTCGTTCTCTGGTGACAACTGGGCGTCCTAAGGTGCCCCAGGGCTTCCATGTGCCCCCAGGGTCATCGGGGGATAGGGAGCTTCCGTGGGGGAACGCGCTGGTAGCCCGATGTCTCATGTGACGTGCCTCCTGTACTGGCGATGTACGATTCCAGGGTCGATGTTTCCCCCCCCTGAGCCCGTCGTCCCCCCTGCCGTTGCCCCTCCAGGCTCATCCTGGAGGACCAGATGTCCTCCAACGTCTACCCCTGGCAGCAGCTGCAGCAGACGCACGGGCTCGCGCTGGAGGCGGTGCCGCGGCCAGCCGACGGGAACTGGACGCGGGCGCTGCTGTCGCGGCTCGCGGCGCTGGAGGCGTCGGGGGCGAAAAACATGTCCGTATCTGCGGCCTTGCGGGCCGGGCCCCTAGGCCGCGACTCCACGGATAAGGGGCGTTTTTCTTCGCGCATGCCCCCGCGCGCAACGTATATCCGTGCGACCGCCAATTCGTGGGATCGCGCCATGGGCGCCCCGGAATCCTGACCGCGAGGGTGCGGATACGGATCTGTTCGCCGCTCTCGAAGGCTGCAGGGCGCCGCGTGGTGGTCGTCGCGGTGCCCGTGTACCTCTGGACGGACGGCTCCGGCCCCGTGGACGTGGCCGCGCTGTCCGAGGTGTGCAGGGACCCAGGCAGGCGCACCCGCACGGTGTTGGTCGTCGACGGGACGCAGTCGCTCGGCGCAGTGCCCTTCGACGTTCGGCGGACGCCCGTCGACTTCCTCGCTGCCTCTGTGCACAAGTGGCTGTTCGGCGCCTACGGCCTCGCCTGCATGTACGCCGCGCGCGAGTGGCAGGAGCGCCTCCTCCTCCTCCTCCGCCTCCCCGGCCTCCTCCTCGATCTCCTGGTCGGTGGGCCCCGCCTGGGGGTGAAGCCCCGGCGGCAAACAGAGAGGCTCCTCCGAGAGCAACTCGCCGAGTGGACGGCCCGAACCCCACTGTCATTCTCCTCTCTCTCTCTCTCTCTCCCCCCAGACATAGACCTCACTTCTTCTTCTTCTTCTTCTTCTTCTTCTTCTTCTTCTTCTTCTTCTTCTTCTTCTTCTTCTTATTATTATTATTCAAAGGGCAGTGCACCTCCATCTCCAGCTGCTTCTGGCCCCAGGAGGACCCAGAGCTGCATCCGCTGGTGCAGGACGAGCACCCCAGGGCCCACATGTTGGGGAACGAACAACGGCATCAACATAAACGTTCGGAGGTCAGCGCGGACTTCTCGGATCGGCGCTGGACCCGCCCTCCCTGCGCCAGGTGCGGCGCCGGAGGCGCCGCCAGGGGGCCCGAGCGCCGATCCGAGAAATCCGCGCGGACATCCGAACGTGCATGTTCACGTCATTGCGAGATCCCTCAAAATGGCCAGCGGAGACGACGAGGTTCCCTTCGACCTGGCGCTGCCCGGGTACCCCGCCGCGTTCCAGCCGGGGGCCCGCCGGTTCGACGGCGGCGGCAGGCCTGGCGAGGAGGAGGAGGAGGAGTAGGAGGAGGAGGAGGAGGAGGAGGAGGAGAAGGAGGAGAAGGACGAGGAGGAGGAGGAGAAGGAGGAGGAGGAACAGGAGGAGGAGGAGGAGGAGGAGGAGGAGGAGGAGGAGGGCGCCCTCTCGCCAGCGGCGGCAGTTGCGGGCACCAGCCCAGGGGGGGGGGGAGGGCCTGCACGTGCCTGGGGGCGGCGACCGCCCCTGCCCCCTGTGCTCTCGACAGGGCGTCAGGGCGGATGCGCGCGTACTGCAAATCCCCCGGGCTACCCGCCCATTGTCAGAGGCGACGACAGGGGCTCCGAATAGCCCAGGGCAGAGCAGTACATGTACTCAGGTGCGCCGAGGATCTATGTCTTCGAAAAGGCTCCCGGGCGAATACGTGTAATACCCGCCCCTGGGCTATTCGCCCCCATCGTCGCCGCCGATATTGAGCCTCCCCAGGCCGCCCCTCCCTCCTCGAGCCTCGACGTCGCGATGTTGCGCACAATGTAAATCCCCAGAGGTCTGGACCCCTTTCCTAGGGCCGGCGTTTCATTTTGAGTTCTTATGAATCGACCCCGAGGCCTGG